GTGCCCCGGTTTCCTCTTCACGTTATTCCGTGGGGTCGGGAAATCAGAACCAGCCCCACAGCGGGGTCCTGTCCGTGGGCTCCTGCCCTCCGTCCCTCCCGCGGGACCCCGGTCCGGCCCAGCTCCCCCGCCGCGCCCAACCGCGACCCGAAATGTCGCCCACCCCAAGGATGCGGGTGCGAGGGGTCGCAGCACGGCCCAGAGGTTCAGGGACAGGCCTCCCACCCTCACTCAGTCCCCTCTGGGACACGGCCCCGCTGCCTGCGGCACCGGAAGGCGCAGGGACAGGGGGAGTGAGAGGGGACCCGGGCGGGGGGAACCCGCGGGGGGCAGTCGGAGAAAGAGTGGGGGCACCACCAGGACGGGGGGTGGCTCCCCGTGTCTCACCCTTGTCAGCGGCCTTACGCGGGAACCGGGAGCGGAACCGGGTCACCCTACCTGCTGCGCACTGCTCCGCCGGGCGGCGGCCGCGACCAGCCGGGACGGGGCAGACGGAGCGGACGGGGCGGGGGAAGGCACCGCCCGCCCTCCCGCCTGCCGCGCCCCCCCGCGGCAACTCCGCGCTGCTGCGCCCCAGGGGCCGATAAAGCAGGGAGATGAGGGGGCGCTCCCTGGGACGGACCCCGATAAACCGACCCCCTCGCCCCGAACGGGACCGCAGCCGCACCTCCGGGATCTCTGACGTCACGTCAGGACCCTCCTTTTCTATGCAGTGACGTCAGCTGGAGAACACCCCTTTCGGCGCCGGTGGGGGGGGAATCCCCTCCTCGCCGCCGCTCACGCGATCTCCGCGCTCCTTCGCGTCCGTCGCGCCCCGTTCCACGCGGCAGTGCCGCGCCGTAACCAGCAGGGGACGCGGCGGCGAGGAATGGGCGTGGCCGGGATGGCGGCAGCGTGACCCACGTTGCGGGGCGTGCCGGTGGCGGCATGGCCGCGGGGCGGGGCGGGCGGCCGCGGAGCTATGGCCGGGCTGCGCTGCGGGCTCTGGCAGCCGCTGCACGTGGGTTCGCGGCCGCCTGCCTGCCCCTCCGCCGCCTCGCCTGCCGCGCCGTCGCCTCATTCATGGACCTCGCCGGCCCGCTGCTGTTCCGCGTGGGGTGAGTGCCCGCCGCTCCAGTAAGCCCCGCCGGGAGGGAGCTGCCGCCGCCCGCCTTTGTTCTGCCTCCGGGAGGAGCGGCCCGTCCGTCCCTGCTTGCGCGGAGTCCTCCTCTGGATTGCAGCGGGGCCAGCCCGGTGCGCTCCAGCACCGCTTGGGTGTTCAGCGCGCCCGGCTGATGGGGAGAAGGGCAGGCGGTGTCAGCCCGGTTACAGGGATGCTCCGCAGGGCCGGCAGTCAGCCCTTGGCTCCCCAGCGCGGTTATGATCCCCCTCGGACCTGGTACCCCATCCCGGCGCTCCTTCCCTCGGGTCTAATCATTAACCCGCCCGGTGCCCCCGCCGTGGCCTTGCTGCCCGCTGCTGGCAGGAGTTCCCGGCTTCGGGTTCCCAACCCCCACGGCTGCAGAGAGGCCCGGCTCCTGCCAGGATCCCTCCCCGGTGTACCTGCCGGTGCCAGCGTGGAGGATGTGGCCATCAGGAGCATGCCCTTCGCCCCGGGAAGGGCTTTGCAACCCTGGTCTTTGCATGTCCTTCATGGTACTGGTCCCTGTCCCCAGTCCCAAAATGCTGCTGTATAAATGGGGCGTTCCCCTGAGCCCCCACTCTGCATCTGTTGCACCCCTGTGTAGAAATGCTGCGGGAGCGTTTCTTGCTTCCCTTTTCCTCGGCCTGTTTTCCTCCCTCTTCCCTTTTGCCCAGGGCCGTGGCACCCGGAGGAGGTCCCCGGAGTGGGGTTAGCCCTGGGCACGGCCCCCCCAGGGCTGAGGGAAGGGAAGGGCAGCTGGGGATACTCAGCAGCCAGAGCACGGTTGCAGGTAAGGCCGTGGGGCTCCATCCCTTCCTGGTGAGCAGAGCCATCCTGGACAGACAGGTGGACAGATGGACACCCCTGCTGTGATGCCTTCCCACCCCCACCCTCCTTCCCCATCCTTGCTGCCCATAGCAATTGCAGTGAAACCAGCTCTGCTCTCTGCAGATGCAGGGCAGGAAAGTGGGAAGGACACCACTTCCATCCCCTAAGGTGTGAAAGTGACCTTGTACATGTCCTCTGTGGGGGTCCCAGACCAGGCAGCAGCCCCCTCACGGAATGAGCCCCTTGGGGGTGCTGTAGGTTAATGCTGGGGGTGTCTGCCCTCCCCAGGTACAGCCTGTACACCCGCACGCGGCTGGGCTACCTCTTCTATCAGCGGCAGCTGAGGAAGGCCCGGGAGCGGTACCCACACGGCCACTCCGTGTCCCAGCCATGCTGCTTCCCCGGTGAGTCCTGCTGAGACACCCCGCGTGGCCCTGTCATGTCCCCCAGCACTGGCACTGTGGGGCAGGGAGAGGTTTCCATTGCCACGTTGCCCAAAGCGTGTTTAACTGAAAACTGGATTTAAGACATGGGCAGTTTGGCCTGCCCATGCAGTCTTTCCCACATGGGGGTTGTGCCTTGATGTGTGTCTGTCTGTGCCCCACAGGGGTGAAAATTCTGCCTATTCCCGTGCTTTCCAACAACTACAGCTACCTGGTCATTGACACCAGCTCTGGCCATGCGGCTGCCATCGACCCCTCTGACCCGCTGGCTGTGCAGGTGAGGTCCCTGCAGCCCCCCCGACCTGCAGCTTGGGTGTCCCTGCTTGAGGGGGGTGGCGTGTCTGGCTTTTCTGGGGGCAAAGGGGTTCAGGTGTGCTCCTCATCTGCAGTCCTTGGTGCCTGAGGCAAGGCTGGAGGGCAGAAGGGCCCATTCTCATGTGGGGAGCTTGGGGAGATTTAGGGAGAGACTGGTACTTGGGGTTTTGTGTCCCTCCCTAATCCCTCTGTCGCCCCCATTCCCAGGCTGCCATTGAAAAAGAGGGGGTGATGCTGGAGGCCATATTCTGCACCCACAAACACTGGTAAGAGGCAAAGAGGGGACACTGAGTCAGTGGCTGCTGTGGAGGGTGTCCCAGCTGAGGTGAAGCCCAGCCCAACCCCAGTTGGGGAGGGAAATGGGGGGGACACATTGAGGGGCACTGACCTCCCTGTCTGCAGGGACCACAGCGGGGGGAACGCAGAGCTCTGCCAGCAGCACAGCTCCTGCAAGGTGTACGGCAACGCCCTTGATTCCATCCCAGACCTCACCAAGTAAGTCCTGTACCCCCCCCCAGCACCCCTGTAAATTTGGAGTGGGCTTCACCCCCAACCATCACTATCTGCTCCACCCACCAGTCCATCTCGCAAATACCACGTTGCCCCCTTTGCGGTTGGAGACCTGGCACACTCACAACAGTGATGCACCAGGGAAGGGTTGCACTGGGAGGTGGCGGTTTTGAGGTGCTGGGGAGGGGACACAGTACCCTGACGGTGCATCCCTGTGCCCGGAGCAGCCCACTTACAGACAGGGAGAAGGTGAGCGTGGGCTGCCTGACCTTCCAGGCGCTTGCCACGCCTGGCCACACTGTGGGCCACATGGTGTACGTGCTGGACGGGGAGCCCTTTGGTGGCCCCCCCTGCCTCTTCTCCGGGGACCTCCTCTTTCTCTCTGGCTGTGGTGAGTGTGCCTGACCCCATTCTGGGTTGATAGCGGGTTCCCACCCTGGGAAGAGCTTGGGGGGACCCCCCAGTCCTTCCCCCCATGACAGGTGGTTGCATGGGGGTCCAGGCAGGCTGTTTGAGGGCTCTGCTGAGACCATGCTCGCCTCCCTGGACTTGGCCATGGGCTTGGGCGAGGACACACTGCTGTGGCCAGGTGAGTGTCCCCAACAGTGTGGCAGAGCCATTGGTGTTCCCCTAGCTCCCGCTGGGGAGCTGGTTGGAGGTAATGCTGGAGGGCATGGGGGTCCACAGGCCACGAGTATGCACTGGAGTGCCTGACCTTTGCCAGCCTCCTGGAGCTGGACAACCCTGCGCTGGACCAGAAGTGGCAGTGGGTGATGCAGCAGCGCCAGGAGAAGAGGATCACGGTGAGACCTGGGGGGTCCCTGACTGCACTCCACCACCACCCAAGCCCCTCCCAGGGTTTCCCATCACCTCTCTTACATGGCAGGTGCTGTAGGGGAAGGGGGTGCTGGGGCAGATGTCCTGACTCCCTGATGGGGGTGCTGCCTCCAGCGGGGATCTGAGACACTGCCCCGCTCCTCTTTCCCCTGCAGTGCCCCTCCACGCTGGGGGAGGAGCAGACCTACAACCCCTTCCTGCGGACCCATCGGCCAGAGCTGCACGCAGCGCTGGGGCTGCGGCAAGGCGCAGGGGAGCACCCCAATGCCTTCCGTGCCCGCGTCCTCAAGGAGGTGCGGCGGCGCAAGGACCTCTACAAAGCCCCCTAATCACCGCCTGCCTGGGTCCCCTTTCCATGGGCTGGGTGCTGCTCTGGCACAGGGAGCCCGGGCCCATGTGGTTTGTTTTGCTGTGAATCTCCTTCCTGGGGTGCAGTGTTTGCAGGGGTGTGGGGAAAGAGTGGGCACCCCATAAGTGATCCCTGCCTTTGTTCCCCCAGACTTGGGGGTCACCAGCTGTTACACAAAAGCACCTTGATACCCTTTGTGGGGGTCTGTAGCCCCCCACCCCACTGCTGGGGCTGTAGCAATGGCACCAAGGGCTTTTCCTAACCCTGCCCTAACTTTTTGGGAGCCCCCAGTTCCTCCCCCAGCACTCAGCCTCCCCCTGGCAGCTCCACTGCTGTGGATCTCCTCTGGGGGGGCTGGGATGGAGCCAGCAAGGTGGGCAGCCCAGTACTACCTCCAGGCAAGGGGCTCTTCTCCAGCACCCCGTGTTTGGGGCCATGGGGCCACACTGAGTGATGGAGGGGGGATTATTGCTGTACTGGGGTCTAGAGGGTGTCGTCCCGTCCCGTCCCATCCCGTCCCCCAAATAAAAGACTAAGTCTATTTGGTAGAGTTATACCTATTTGGCCTTATCCCTCCGCGGCTTCTTTAAGAGGCGGGACCAGGCCGTTGCTATAGGGACCGCTGAGGCGTCGCTGGGGAGGGCACCTGGGTCCGGCGCGGCAGGTCTGGGGCTCGGGCGGGTGTTGCGGGCTGCTATGGGGCCAGGGGCGGATGTGGGTTCCAGGAGGCCGGGGGGGTGACGTGGGCCCTGGGGTGTGCCGCGGTCTGGGGGCACACGCTGCCCCTCAACCGGGGGTCCGGTAGCAGGAGCCCCACGGCGAAGCATGGAGCGCCCCCCTGGCTGCCTGCAGGAGACCCCAGCCCTCGCGGAGGAGAATGCCAAGTTCCTGAACCTCATCGGTGGGTGCCTACACCCCACAGCCAGTGCGCGGGGGTCCTCGGGGCAGGGTGGATGGACACACACATGCACACGGGACCGGGTTTGTTGGGAGCGGGATGGCTTAGGGGAGCTTGCACAGGGCAAGTGGTGAGGGGCTGGGCCCAGCCCACTCGGAGGGGAAGGGGAGACTGAGGCGGGAGGTGCCTGGGCAGGCTCCGAGCCGGGAGCGCATCCCTCGGCAGGGTGACAGTCTTTCCGGGCAGGGCCAGGGGAGCTGGATCAATGTCTGTTCACCGAAACGCTGGACGTGGTGGCGGCTGAGGCCCAGCCCAGGGACACGGCATGGGGCCAGTGGTGGGTGTCAGCCCGGTGGGCACCATACAAGCGGGAGGGTGAGCAGGTGCGGAGCTGCCTCCTGGTGCAGGCCGGGTGCCGCCGCAGGCAGGACGGGGTGCCAGCCTCCAACAGCCTCAAAGGTAAAGTTCGGCGCAGTGTGGGGTGTCTCCCTGCATCCCAAGGGCTGGAGCATCCCCATCCCACCGGCCCCCAGGGCTGGGATGGTGGGCTGAGTGTGGTTCTGCTCTGCCAGCCTATGTGACCCCAGAGATGGAGACCCTGGAGCAGGAGGAGCAGGAGTGCCTGGAGGTGACTGGGGTGGCGGTGGCAAGTCCCCTTTCCCTGTGTCCTGCCCCCTTGTCCTGGGATGAGCACTGCAGAGATGCCCTCTTGGAAGCTTCACTCCACACAGCGTTGCTGTGGTGTCCCCTCCCCAGCTCAGACATCATCTCTGTTCTAACACCATGGTCCGCAACCCCTACTCTGGGTGGCAGCTAGGGCAGGAAGCTTCTTACAATGCATCTGGTGCGGTATCCTGATTGAAAGGGGTGTTGGGGTGTGCCACCTCAGAGATGGGGTTCCCTGGCTCTACCATCTGCCCTGTGCCCCCCACCCCTCCCACAGCGCAGACTGTACCCTGTAAGGAGGAGGACCCACATGGTGAGCCACCAGCATGGGATGACTGTCACAAAGACCCTCCAGGAGGGAGAGGTGAGGTTGGGGGTGGAGTGTCTCTTCCCTCTGTCCCCCAGATGGGTCATATCGGGGGGGGTGCACCCCCCAGGCTCCGGTGGTGCTGTGCCTGGGGACGGTGGGGCTGTGGCTGTCCCATGAGGTGGCTGGGTCTCTCTGCAGGCAGAGCCACAGTGCTGGAGCTTCATCTATAGCCGGGCCGAACTGCGGGGGCTGCTGCCAGAGGGTGCCAGTCTCTTGCTGCTGCGGGTGCTGGCACGCCGGCGGGAGGTGCCTCCCGGCCTCGTCTTCCCGACCATCAACACCGAGGGCCACCTCTGCACCGTGAGCTACGTGAGCCATCGACCGGGGGAGGCCGTGGGATGGGGCTGTGATCAGGCTGGGGGGGTCCAGGGTGGGATGTGGGAGTGTGGTTGACAGCACCGAGGGCACGGGTTGGGCCCCCGGGAGCAGGGATGAATCCAAGATGGGGTGACCCCTGGCTGTGCCTCCGCAGTGTGCCCTGGGTGTCCAGCCGCAGGCGGTGGGCTCGGCGGAGGCAGAGGTGTTTGTGATCGAGCGAGCCGTGCACGCCGGTGCGGGAGACTCCACCGTCTGGCACAGCAGCTTCCTCCCTAGCGGGTACGGACGGGGGAGGTCCGGCCGGGGCAGCCCCAGCCCCGCGGGGACCCAGGTGGGGCGTCACTGGCTCTTCCCCTCGCAGGCGGCTGGCTCGGCTGGTGCAGGTCGGCAGCCCGATGGTGATGTGTCTGCAGGATGAGCCTGTCCCTGCTACAGAGACAGGTACTGAAGAGGCAGAGGTTCCCCAGCACAGGCAAGCCCTTGCCTGCTGCCTGGCAGCCAAATAGCGAATACCCTGCCCTGCCTTCCTGCTGCCAGGTGGAGTCAAGCCCCAGCCCCCCTTCCCAAAGCAGCCCCTGGACTGGGAGGAGGACATCCAGCTCTTCTCCTGGTTCCTGGACAGAAAGGTGAGACAGTGAGACATGGTGACAGGGGGGCATGGGGTTGTGCCTCCCCCCAGCAGGGTCACCCCTGAGGTGCCCAGGGGTCGGGGAGAGGGGAAGCAGGGTGGCCAGCATCCTTCCCAGCACCTCCTCAAGTGTGGGAAAGGACCCAGGCATCCTGCACCCCCCCCCGGCGCAGCGCCGGTGCCCCTGCCCACCCCACCCACCCCGCCGCAGGGGGAGCTGCAAGAGTACCACACTGCCTACATCCAGCAGCACCCTGAGCTCCAGGTACTCCTGTCCGACTTCCTCCTGGCCCTGCTCCTGCAGCAGCCTCAAGACCCTGTCTCATTTGCCGCAGAATTCTTTGGCCACAAGGAGCCCCCCAAAACCCCTTTTACATCCTCTAGAGCTGCCAACCCCAGCCCCTCACCTTCCCACCCTGTGGCTAACATGGAATAAAGCTGCCAGTGCTGCCTGTCCGGGCTTGTTTGCTTTGGGGAAACTGAGGCACGAGGAGTGCAGGGGGTACTGAGGTGTGTGCATGCCAATCTCGGGAAGACCCTGTCCCTCACCCAGCTGTTCTAGCCTTTGCCTGGGGAAGACACCTGAGGCAGACCCTGGAGAAGGTCCAGGCTCTCCTCCCTGTGCCCATCATCACATCTCCATGGGGGCAGACCTGGCTGGCAGAGGACTGCCCTGAAGAAACAGTCAATACTACCCAAGCACCCATGGGTGCACCCAGAGTGCTCCCCTCTCACCTCCACAGCCACGAAGGGTTCTAGGCATGGGGTGCCCTGCTTTTGTGGGTATAGCCTGACCTTCAATGACACTGATCACCCCATCATTGGGGTCAAGTTCCCCAACCTGTGGGTGGTGTGAGCACCCTGTGCTGCAGAGCCTGCAGCTGAGCATGCTTTTTGACCTCCTCACATGCTTGTGCAACACCGGCCTGCTTCTTCCTCTCTCCCACTCCTCCAGCCTTTCCCCTACTCCCACGGGTCAAGGCTTCCCCATGCTGTGGGACATGATAACCTGTTCCCACAGCCACCCAAGGAGCAGGACCCCTGGCATGAGAAGGTGACACCTAAGTATGCTCCCATACCCCTGTGTGCCCCGTGTTGGGATGCATGGATATACAACAAAGGGGAAGGAAGGCACTGGGTGCACTGCTACTGGCACAGGATAGGGGAACTGAGACCGTGCACATTCATAGCACCCAGCCCCCACCAGGCAGGGCCCTTTCCCAGCCCAGGAAAGCGGGTGGGAAGGAACACTTCCTGCTCCTCCTCCTCGGGGAGGGAGAGAGGAGGAGGGCAACTGGTGGATCCTTTAAAAGCTGGGCGCAGGCATTGCACCCAGTGTTGAGATCATGCCCGGATCAGGCCCAGCCACGGCATCGCTGGAGCCAGGTGAGCCCTATGACACTTGGGTCCCCCTGCGCCTTCTTCCCCCCCCCCTACAGCCCCTTCCCTCTGCCCCAGGACCCCTTGTTCTGTCCCCACCCCACAGTGGGCACCATCTCCTTGAAGCCTGTCCCGGCTTCCCCATATGCCCATCCTCTGTTCCTCCACACCCATCTGTGATTCACCCACACTCCCAGAAAATGGGGGCCGGGGGGGGGGGGGCTGGTACCAGTACCAGCCTCTTGTCCCCACTTCATGCCCACCCAGCAGCAGAACACAGAGCATGGTCCCCTTCTGTCCCTCCTGCCCAGAAATGCACTTGGCTTTTGAACTGGTGAAGATGGGTCTGGGATCAGGAACTTTTAGGGACACATGAGCTGGAGGCAGCATCTGACAGCTGCTGACCCTATAGCCACCCTCACAGCTGCCCTGTAAAAATGGGGTTCATGCCTTATGGGGCTCCCTGGGCAGGGGCAGGTGGGACCAAGGGGCTGCTAGCCAGGTAGGCTGCCACTCTTGCCCCTGTGGTGGGCTGCTACCTCTCCTCCTTCTCTTCCTCACTCCCCACCTCTCCTCTCAGGCCTCATGGGGTCCCTGAACCAGGGTCAAGCCCAGACTTATGGCACCAGCAGGAGCCTGGTGGCCCCACAGGACCCTGGCACCCTGGACCAGACCTACCTGGATGAACGCATCAGCATCCCCAAGGGTGGTGGGGTAGGTGCTGCTAGGCTGGCACCTCCATCTGAGTGTAGGCAGAGACTGAGCAAGGAGCTGGGACAGCAGGGAGCTGGAGATGGGGAGGCAGAGGGAGTGGGAGACATACCTAGGACGTGCCCCGGGGACCTCAGTGTCCCCAGACGGTACTCAGGCAAATCACAGCCCCAGGGTGAACATTTCCACACTTAAAGGTTTCCAGATTGGGAAAGTGAGGCAAGGAGTGAGGTGCTACCCAGCTGTAGGCATCATCACCCCGTTGCTCACACACCACCCGTGCCCAGCCCAGTGAGGGTGTCTGTGTCACACCAGCCCTCCCCAACCCCATCCGGTCCTGGGGGATGAAAGGGAGAAGGGGAAGAATCGGGGTTTTCCCTGCCAGGAAGGATAGTGAAAGCAGGGCTTGGCAGCAGGATCCCATGAGGTGCAATAAACGGTGCCTGACAGCCCAGAAACCCCCTGCACATCACTGTCCAACCTGCCCCTGGCTGGGGATCTTGCTGTCCCCCTGGCACTGCTGCTAACAGAGAGGGGCTGGGGCTGGGGCTGGCAGTTCCCTCCCCAGAGCAGAAGAAACATCCCGTGTGCGAAATGCACCCGTGCAGGCAGCACCGGGCTTCCTAGCACCGCGCTAAAGGGGACCGGGAGTGCAATTGGGAAACGCTGGTTTCAAACGGGAACTCTTTGCTCTGATCTGCTGCCTCTTCCCAGGCCGGTTTCAGCTTTAGGAAACTCTGGGCTTTCACCGGTCCTGGCTTCCTCATGAGCATCGCTTACCTGGACCCGGGCAACGTGGAGTCAGACCTGCAATGCGGGGCTGTGGCGGGGTTCAAGGTGAGCCCTGGGCCTCCCCGGCCCTGGCTCAGGAAGCAGCCAGGGCTTTCACAACTTTTCCTGTGCCAACGGCCACCCAGCCCCATGGCAAGCCCCATGGCTTCCCCTGCATGGGAAGCGGGAACGGGGGGGGGCCTTGGCCCAGGCGGAGGGCACCCAGGGGTGTGAGGGGGCAACTCCTCTGACTGGGGGCCACCTCCAGCCCCTCTGGGCTCCTCTTCCCCGTGTCCCTGGGCTGGCTGGTCCTTGCTGGGAGCCCCGGGTGGCCACATCCCACCTGGTGCCCAGCTCCTGCTGCCTCCCTCCTGCCCCCCCAGCTGCTGTGGGTGCTGCTGTGGGCCACCATCCTGGGGCTGCTGTGCCAGCGCCTGGCCATCCGGCTGGGAGTGGTGACTGGGAAGGACCTGGGTGAGATCTGCTACCTCTATTACCCCAAGGTGAGCACCACAGGGAGCCCTTCTGGGGTCATCGCCTTGGGGGACCCCACTCTTAGGCTGGTGATGATCCTGGCAGGGCCTCACCTCTCCCAGGGACTCTCCAAAGCTCTTCCAGCTCCAGTGCCCCCTATCTAGCACCCACACAGCTCTGCAGCACGGGGAGGGGCGAGGAGGGGGAAGCAGCTCCCACGGTTTCCTGGTCCAATGTGGGGACACAGGAGCGCGTCCCCCGGGGGGTGAGCCCTGGTGTTGCGGCAGCAACGCACAGCAGGGACGCAGGGCGAGCCTGGGCATGCTGGTGCAGGAGGTTGGAGGGGCTCGGCAGGTGTCATAGGGCAAAGGAGGTGGGGAGCTAGGGATCCCATCTAGGTGGCAGGATCCTGATGGGGGGAAACGAGCGATGAGATGATGGCTGAGTGACAAGTCCCCAGAAGGAGGGCTGGATACATCCTTCTGCCCTGTCTGGACATGGTGTCCAGAGAGCTGAGTCACAAGTCCCCAGAAGGAGGGCTGGATACATCCCTCCGCCCTGTCTGGACATGGTGTCCAGACAGCTGAGTCCTATCCTCAGCCCCCACTGGGGCAAGGATGGGGAGGGGGTGCAGGCTGTGACTGAGGATCCATCTTGCACCCTAAGATTGTGTCATGGAAGAGGTTGCTGCTTTGGGTGGCCTGCCAGAGCCTGGGAACAGGGGTCTCCACCCTGGATGTTGTGCCAGCTTGCCCAGGGCCAAGCCTTGCTGTGGGCTCAAGCACCTCAATGCCCCGGTCCCCCCAGGTGCCCCGTGTACTGCTGTGGCTCATGATCGAGATTGCCATCATTGGCTCTGACATGCAGGAGGTGATCGGAACAGCCATTGCCTTCAGCCTGCTCTCAGCCGGCCGGTGAGCTGTCCCATGGGGAACCCCCAGCCTCTCCTGTGGTCCCACTCCACTGAGGAGCATGTGTCTAACAGGCTACCCTTGCCATCCCACAGCATCCCCCTCTGGGGTGGGGTCCTCATCACCATCGTGGACACCCTCTTCTTCCTCTTCCTCGACAAATACGGTGGGTGCCGGGCAGGGGGGATGAGGGGATGCTCACCCACGCAGCCCTGGTGCCCATGCGGCACTGGTGTGCCTGGCTCTGTCCCACCACATCTCTCAACCCCTCCAGGGCTCCGCAAACTGGAGGCTTTCTTTGGCCTCCTCATCACCATCATGGCCCTGACTTTTGGCTACGAGGTGAAAGGGGGAGCTGGGGACACCCCTTTCCCTGCAGGGTGCTGGCAGGGGACCCCTGTGGTGCATCCCCATTGGCACTGGCCTACAGTGGTGGTAGGGGGCAGCTCACAGTGCTCCTTCCCACTGGTCCCCAGTACGTGATGGTGAGGCCAGGGCAGGTGGAGGTCCTGAAAGGCATTTTCCTGCCCTACTGCCCGGGCTGCGGGCGAGAGGAACTGCTCCAGGCTGTGGGCATCGTTGGCGCCATCATTATGCCCCATAACATCTTCCTCCACTCCTCCCTGGTCAAGGTGAGACTAAGGCACTGCAATAGGCACTACCATGGGCACTGCCACCCAGGGTGTCTCAGGGGACACTTGGTGGGGACCAGCTGATCCTGGCTTGTCCAGGATATCCCCATCCAGGACACGGATGCTCACCTGACCCTGTGGCACCCATGTCACCTACCGTACTCAGACACGGGACATTGACCGGTCCAAGAAGGAGGCAGTGCAAGAGGCCAACATGTATTTCCTGACTGAATCCTGTCTGGCGCTCTTCATCTCCTTTCTTATCAACCTCTTTGTCATGGCTGTTTTTGGTGAGGCTTTCTACCACCAGCGGAACGAGGATGTGGTGAGTGTCCACCACAGGGAGGTGTTTGCTTTGCCAGGCTGTGTAAACAGGCAGGGTGAGCATCCCTTGAAAAATGGGTGTCCTCATCCCCTGAGACACGGTATACGAGAGGCCCTGTGTCTGTGGGGGCTACCGGGTGGCCATCATGCTTGTACCCACTGTGCGCATTGCAGCACAACAAGTGCATCAACAGCAGCGTCAGCCACTACGCCAGCATCTTCCCCACCAACAACGAGACGGTCTCTGTGGATATCTACCAAGGGGTGAGTGGCTCCAGGCTGTACCCTGCAGGCATCCATACCCATCTGGGGGACACAGTGCTTCCCTGGGGCTGGGGGCTGCAGTGACCCTGCTGGAAGGCTGGGAGCTGATTGTCTGGGGTGGGGGACACCTTGGGGTCCCCATGGGACTTTTCCCATACAGGGCGTCATCCTGGGCTGCTATTTTGGGGCAGTGGCACTGTACATCTGGGCCATTGGGATCCTGGCGGCGGGACAGAGCTCCACCATGACCGGGACCTATGCAGGGCAGTTCGTCATGGAGGTGAGGGATGGGGTGCTCGGATGCTGGCCCTTGGAACATGGGGAGCAGCTAGGGAGGACCACGAGCTATTTGGCAGAGGGAACTACCCTCCATTCCTGGAAGGAGCTGAGCATGGAGCACTGCCCACCCAGGGGGTGGCAGCTTGCTGGTACCAAGGTCCCCAGGAGAGGTAGGATGGGGACAGTGCCCACCCATTGCCGCGGCATGGCTACCCCCGGCCCCTTGACACCCTCCCAGAGGCACCCTGTGGGTGCCCCACACATTTCCTCAATGAGATCTTTCGCTTAATGAGCTGGAGCTGACATCTAGCGGGGCCCAGCAGCTCTGCACGGGCCCGCTCGGCGCCTTGGCACGGGCGAGGGGGAGATGGTCACCACGTTCCTCCGAGCAAGGGTTCGGGGGAGGGCACTGGCCTGGTGCCCCAGGCATGGTGAGAGGTGAGGGCGCAGGTTTCGCCGTGTCCCCAGGGCTTCCTGCAGCTCCGCTGGTCCCGCTTCACCCGAGTGCTCTTCACCCGCTCCTTTGCCATCCTGCCCACTGTCTTTGTGGCCGCCTTCAGGGATGTCAGCCACCTCACAGGCATGAATGACCTGCTCAACGTCCTGCAGAGCATCCTGGTAAGGGCGGGGGGGGGGGGCATCACCTGCCCCCCAACACCCCAGCCTGGTGGTTGTGTCCCCCTCACCTCTCTCTCCTTCCAGCTGCCCTTTGCTGTTCTGCCCGTCCTCACCTTCACCAGCCTGCGCCCGCTCATGCAGGACTTCACCAATGGCCTGTGAGTGCCATGCCAGGGGGAGGCATGGAGTAGGGGGTTCCAGTTGCAGGCACCCTCCCTTTGGCCCATCCTTGCCCCCCAGACCATGCCATGGGGGCAGTTGCTGTATGGGCATTAGGGGAGGATGCTCATTCCCACCGGCCCAGGGCAGCCAGAGCAGGTATCAGATATTAGGAAAATTAGATCCTAATTAGATATCAGGAAAAAATCTTCACTGTGTGGGTAGTGAGAGAGTGGCACAGGTTGCCCAGAGAAGTTGTGGCGGCCCCATCCCTGGCAGTGTTCAGGACCAGCTTGGACAGGGCTTGGAGCAACCTGGTCTAGTGGAAGGTGTGGGCATGGGGGTTAGAAGTAGATAATCTTTAAGGTTGCTACCAACCTAAACCATTCTATGACAGACCCCATAACTGGCCTCTCCATCCTCACCCCAATGCCATGTCCAGCCCCCTTGGGCATTCCTGGGTACTTAGCATCCCTCTGGCACTGCCATCCCTGCATTTGGAGGGTGGACAAAGCCCATGCCCGGAGCCCCATCGCAGGGATGTAGTATGGCTGTGCAGAGCAGAGATGGCCCATTTGGGGTCTTGCTCACCTACAAACTCAGGTCTCCCGGACTGCTGTGCCTGGTGGCACACAGGGTGGGTGCTCTGCCCCTGTGCTGATGCTCACTCCCTGCCCACAGCCCAGGGAAGGTGCTGATGACTCTCATCACTGGGCTGGTCTGTGCCATCAATGTCTACTTCGTGGTGGACTTTCTGCCCACGCTGCAGGGCCTGGGCTACTACATCCCCCTGAGCCTGCTATTGGTCGCCTACGTGGTCTTCATCACCTACCTGGTAGGGCTGGAACCGTGGGAAGGGGCAGCCGGGTGGTGAACAGCATCCCCGTGGGTGCCCACAGACCTGCCCTTTTTGCACCCCCAGATCTGGACATGCAGTGTCGCACACGGAGCCCGGTTCCTGGCAGGGGGCCATCATGACCGGTTCAGCTTTGGCGTCTCCCTCGACTCACGGGCGCTGGCAGGGACCCAGTGACAGACCCCGATCCCACCTGCCTCCCCAGCACAGTCCCCCCACACTGATTTGATGCCACACCAAGCCCCCGGTTGATGTTCTGGCCGGACACGCACCCATCAAGGAACTGGTTTAACAGCCGGGCAACCCTTCCCCCAAGTTTTTAGACTCCCCCTGCTCCCACCCCAATTCAGGGTTGCTGGTCCAAGCTGGATGCGGGATGGGAAGGGTGCAGTGGGAAGCGCCCCCAGCCCTTGGAACAGAGGCTTCCGCGAATGAGCCGCCCCGGCTCATTAGTGCCGGGAACCGCCGGCCCCCGGGACCGCTAATTACCGCCCGGGACCGCTAATCGCCTCCCAGGACCGCTAATCACCGCCCGGCACCGCTAACCAACCCTCACGGCCGGCGGACGGCAGGGCCAGACCGGGAGAGCCGAGGCCTCCAGTCCCACTGCCCAGTACCGGCCGCAGCCGCGGACCGGAGCCCCACCGAGGGGTCCTAAACTCGGGAGGGGCGGCTGATAAACGGCGTGCTTGTGACCTGCCCTCAGCCTCTCTGCTGCTGCGCGCCTGGAGCAGAGAAGGGAGGGGACCACAACGCCCCCCCCCACCCCCCAATAGCCCGGGCCTTGTGCTTTACCCAGTGTTGGGGAGTGCATAGACCGGGGCGCGGGAGCTCAGCACCAGCTCCCTGCATTCCCCCGGGGGCAGCGGGAAGGTGGGGGCGCCTCTCCGTGCCCTCCCCGCCCCGGATGCCCCGTTTCCCGCCTGCCGGCACCGCCGGATGCAGCTGCGGGGCCGCTCGGGTCCCCCTCCGGGGGGCGGCCGGCCGTACCCCCCTTCACTTCCCTCGGCCCCAGGCTCCGGGTGGGGGGCCAGGGGGGGTCCGCCGCGCTTCGCCCCCCGCCGCGGCCCGCACTTGCGAGACGCTCCCTGACTGTTTCAAGGCTCCCCCTCTCCCCAGCCGCCCCCCCCCCCCCCCCCCATCCCCGCTTCCCAAACCACCCCGGCCAGGAGCTGGAGGGGGGAATTAGGAGGGCTGGACCCCCCCGCTCCCGCCCTGAGCCCCCCCCACCCCTGGAAGGGGACACCCCCCCTCCCGGGGGCCACGCTTGTTTATGTGAAGAATTTCCCCTTCCTTAAAAGGGCGATGCCGGCAGGGTGGGGCGGTGCCTCCCCCCGCCTCCGCGTTGGTCCGGCCTCGGGCTGCTTGAAGGAGGAGCCGGAGCGGTGGGGCCCACCGAGAGGCGGGAGTCGTGTGTCCCGTCCCGTGTCCGTCCGTCCGTTCTCCCCCCCCCCCCATCCAGCACAGCCGTCCCCGGGCCTGGCGAGCAGGAGCATGGGGACCCCGGTGCATGTGCCCGGGGCTGTAGGACCGGGAGGGCGAGGGACGGGAGCTGAGGAGCGCAGGGACCAGCCCCACGGCGCGGCTGAGGGTCTGGAGATGTCCTCAGGGCTGTTGCGGAGATCGCATTTCTCCACCCGGGACCCCCAACCCGGGGTCCCTCAGTGCAGGTCCCGGTACTTTTCGGTGCTCACAGCCTACGTGTCTGTTTGCTTATTCTGCAGCTCCTGAACGAGGACAACGTTGCCCTAAGTTCCTCAGCTGCCTGATGTGCTTCTGCGCAGGCAGCAAAACTGGGAGCGATGCTCCAACCACTGCCGGAGGCGTCGAGCCTGGAGACTTCGCTAATTGCGTTAATTAGAGGCCAGGCAGGGTCTGGTTGAACTGGGGTTGGTGCCTGTACGTTGCTGATTGCTCAGGGAAGAAAAGGATTCTGCCAGAGAAACATCGGTCCTGGAAGGGAGAATGTGTGGTCTCCACTGGTGTTCCCATGGTGAGCAGCATCCCTGACACCCGGGGGAGGCTGCTGGGATGAGGCCCGTGTCCTGCCTGGCTTCACCAGGGCAGAAGGAGCCGCCCAGGTCAGCCCAGAAGAGAGTGGGGGAAGCAGAGTCTCTTCCATCCTCTTTCTCCTGCGTGGTCGGGTGCAGCGCTGGCCTGGGCAGGGGAAGCGGCTCCCCTCTGCCTGGCACTGTTTATGGGGCAGGGAATCCAAGGCCCGGCCTCTCACTAGAGCAGGTGGCAGCGGTGGCAGGATGGGCGTCCCGGTTCCCAGCAGCAGCCTGGGCCCTCCCTGGTTGTCTCGGGGTGCGAGGGGGTCCTGCAGGGCCTGGAGCATGGGAGCTACAGGCGTGAACCTACTTCTGCTTCCACCGCCTGCCTGGTTCTGCAGCATCCCAGTTCCTGATGCCAGTAACATTACCCAGCGGGGTCACCTGTAGGTTACGTGTTGTGCCCCAAGTCCTGTGTCCGAGGGGCTGCTCCCACAGCACGGAGAGAGACCCTGATCCCGCCCCCAGACCGGAAAGGACGATTTCAGCTCCCAAAGTTCCCAAAACCGCATCTGGGACGGGGAGAGGCTCCAGACAAGCTCAGACGAGAAATTTACAGACTGCTTTCCCCCACCTCTTCCTTCCCACGGGCAGCGCTGATAGAGGGAACAGCACCTCCTGCCACCGAGGTGGTGAGGGACAGGGTAACCGGGACCGGCTGGAAACCTCCCTCCCGGGTGCCTGCGGGCAACGGGGAGCAAGGCGCGGGGGAAGGGGCTGGGGAGTGCCAGCACATGGGGCACTGGGGGAGACGACACAAGATTCTCCTGAGAAGATTGTTGCATTCTTACGCTCTCGCTAAAAGCTGCTCGTCGGGAGCCACCTGGAAAGAGACCCGCTTGCCCCGAAGGCGGGAAGGGAGGCTCTGCAGGAGAAAATACCTGTATCGATGATAAATCTATATTAATTCACCGAATAACTGGCGAATTGCAAGAAAAACGCAGACTGTTACTGTTGCAGCCCCACGGCACCTGCAGCCTTCACACTCTCCTGGCAAGGGGGAATGAGCCCTGCGGGTGGGGGCGGGGACCGCCGGGTCCAGGGGTCTCTGGTCCAGGGGATACCCAAGCATGCGGGGGCTGGCTGCTGGGGGGGTGGATGACCCCCTTTCCATTACCCCGGAGTGTGGGTACATGGCAGGAACCCCCCTTCGACCACCGCAGAGCAAGGGAAGGGTCTTTCCCCTCCAAACCGCGTCCCCTGGTGGTGGGGCGGCTGCGGAGAGGCGGAGGTGGGAGGAGGAGGCAGGCGGCGGCCCCCCCCCCCCTCAGCGTTGCCCTTTTAAGGGGTTCCTTGAAACCGCGCCCGGGTTCCATGTTTGCGGCCCCAGCCCGGGCGGAGGAAACTCCATGTTGTAACAAAGTTTCCTCCGCGGCGCCGCTCCCGCGCCCGTCGCCCCGCGCCGCCGCCGGACCCCGCCCCGCCTCCCCCCCCCCGGGGGGCCGCGCCGGGGGGGGGCCGCCCCCTCCCACCCCCCCTCCCGGTCGCCCATGGAGCACCAGTCCATCATCGCCCAGGTTAGCAGGGAGGAGGGGAGCGCCCCGCTGCAGGAGAAAGGTAACGCGGGGGAGGGGGGGTTATCCCTGCCCCCACGGTGCGGGGAGGTCGGGGGAGGTCCCCGGGGTCTCCGGTACCGGGAGGGGGACCTGCTCCCGGCGGGTGTGATGAGCTGCGGGCCCCCGCGCGTCCCGCTGCCACAGCGCTGGAAGGGGATGCGCGGGGGGGCTGGGGCGCGGGGTTGTCCGTACCGCTTCCCCCCCCCCGAATCCCATCGGTGACGCCGGGGTATTCGGGGCGCTGCTCAGGCCCCGGCGCTCTGTGTTTCTGCGCGGTTTCCTCCAGAGCCGGACGGACGGACGGGGGGGGTGTTGCACGCAGCGCCAGTGGGGTTACTGAAGCAGGCAGGGAGCCGAGCACCGGGCACCCGCTACAGATCGACGTCCCCCTTCTCCTGCGCGCCCTCCGCCCGGCGCAGGGGGGTTGGTGGGGAGCGCTGCCCGTCCTGCTGCCCGCCCGCCTGGGGAGCTGGCAGGGCCGGGGCTGGGGGAGAAAGCGGGGGAACGGACCCCGACCCCATCGGGGAGCTCCCTGCCATGGGGCGCCCTACAGGCCTGCCGGGGCCCTGAGGGGGCAGAACCAGGGGGACCTGCAGCTCCCGGCCCGGGCTGTCGGCAGGATCCAGCCCGCGGGGCCGGTAGGGAAGGGGCTGGAGCCGCCGCGCTGCCCGCTGAGCCCAGGGCTGGCGGGAGCTGCCTCTCTGCCTCAGTTTCCCCTTGATCCGCCAATGGGGGCTGCGGGAACGGCGCCCAGGGGCGGGCACTTCGCCCTGATTGGTTTCTGACCTCAGGTACGCTCGACTTGGCCAATGAGGAATGGGGGCAGGCTGGGGGCGGGAAACAAAGCGGCTGTAAGCCCCGCCTCCCGCGGCTAGGCCTCGCCCCCCCCCCCCCCCGGCCACCCACCGGCGTGAGTCCGCGCCTCGCGGCGGGACCGGCCGGGGTCCAGTAGCGGCCCCGACCCCTCGGGTTGTTGCTGCCGCGTCCGCAGCTGTGCGGGGGCTGCCCACGGGGGTCTCCCGGGCAGGGGATCGCCCCCGGGCAGGCTGCTGCGGGTGGTCTCCAGACACTCGTGTCCACGGCGCTGCCCTGGCGCCGGTGCTTGGTGTAGCAGGAAGAGTGTCCGGATGGGTGCTGGGGCTGATAAGGGCGCAGGGGGCTCCGGGCAGAGGGGACACATCCCCCGTGTCTGGCATCCCGAGCCTAGCTCTCCCACCCTCTCCTCGCTGTGCTGGGGCTTGGGGGACCCCCAGGGGTGCCCCTCACCCTCAACCCCTCCACACAGGTACCCAGGCCCCTGCCACCAAGAAGCCACGGAGCCGCAGCATTCTCCAGTCCCTCTTCTGCTGCCTGTGCCGCGATGACGGGGAGCCCTGTGCTGGTACCCCTGGTGCCCCGCTGCTGGTGGAGGAGAATGGGGCGCTGCCCAAGGTACCCCCCTCACTCCAGCCTGGCTGTCCTCGTGCTTCCCCTGTGCCAGGATGTGGGGCTAAATGGGCTCCCCCACTCGGGATGGCGGGAGGGTAGGGGGTGCCTCTCACCACCCCACTGACCCCGAAGCTTGCCTGTCCGCCCATGCCACAGGCTGCCGTCAAACACCTTCTGCCTGAGATCAAGCCACAGGATGCTAGCAAACTGTGTGTGGTCATCGACCTGGATGAGACACTGGTGCACAGCTCTTTCAAGGTGAGGAACACCCCAGCCCCCTTCCTGCTCCTCACCCCACCTGCCCTGTCCCTCTTTTTCCTCCCTGTACCTCTAAGTGGTGCCCAGCACCCAGCAAAGCCCCACTGGGTCGGCTGGGGTGTCCCTGTGAGGGTCTGGCAGAAGGCAGGCAGCATTTGGGCAGGGGGTTCCCGCCCAGTGCTGACCCTGCTGTGCCTTCCCTAGCCGGTGAACAATGCCGACTTCATCATCCCGGTGGAAATCGATGGCATCATGCACCAGGTAATGGGGGAAGCAGGGTGCCTGGTGGGTGGGGGGGGCACAGCACCTGCTGCCCATTCCCTGACGACTGGGAGCGATCATCCCAGCTCCCTGCACCGAGGGCAGATGAGGCATCAGGGTGCCAGGGTGGGGAAGTGAGGGGGAATCCTGGTGTGGTGCCCTGCGGTAGTGGTTGGTCCCGGGTTCAAGTAATCCAGGATAGGCTGTGATCTGGGCAGTCAGCCTGTTCTTGGTTACTTGGCTCTGGAGCCGGCCAGATGCTTCACCTGGATGTACCAGCGGGGCCATGGCATCCCTCACCCCACACGGAGCAGCCCCCATGCGGGTGTACACAGGGTGCAGGCAGCCCTCTGTCCCCCTTCCCCAGAAGGGAGCCGCTGACTGCTCTTGGGGACATAGGTGCCCCCCGGGGGTGGGCATGAGGAGGCTGGGTGGTAGGGGTATGGGTGCCCGTGGTGCATGCCCTCTGCCCTGTGCCCGCAGGTGTATGTGCTCAAGCGGCCACACGTGGATGAGTTCCTGCAGCGCATGGGTGAGCTCTTCGAGTGCGTGCTCTTCACTGCCAGCCTGGCCAAGGTGCGTGCTCTCCTCTTCCCAGCTACACATTGGGTGGCACAACTCTCCTTCCCTGCTCACCCATGGGCAGTGCTGCCCCTATGTGCCCTGCCTACTGCAGGCAGTGCCAGCATCAGGCAGTGCTGTCCGCCTGCCCCTCCACGGTGCTGTCCAGGGAAACTGAGGCACTGGGTGAGCTGGCGCTGGTGGAGAGCAGGCTGCCGTCGTCACCATGGGGTGGGCACGGTGGCGTGGTGTGCCCTGCTGACCCCCACCCCACGCCCGCAGTATGCGGACCCCGTGGCCGACCTGCTGGATAAATGGGGGGCCTTCCGGGCACGGCTTTTCCGGGAATCCTGTGTCTTCCATCGGGGCAACTACGTGAAAGACCTGAGCCGCCTGGGCCGCGACCTGCGCCGTATCATCATTGTGGACAACTCGCCTGCATCCTACATCTTCCACCCCGATAACGCCGTATGTACTGCTGGGGTGAGGCTGGGGGGGTAATGGAGACAGGGGGCAGACCCCCCTCAGCCACTTCCCTCCCCCAGGTGCCGGTGGCCTCCTGGTTCGATAACATGGCAGACACGGAGCTGCTGGACCTCCTACCCTTCTTCGAGAGGCTCAGCAAGGTGGAGGACGTGTACGCAGTGCTCAAGAAGCAGCGGACTAACAGCTAGTGCCCTCCACCACTGCAGGTGCTGCCCAGGGGCACCGCCGTGGCAGCCGGGTGCCTTGTGTTAGGGGGAAAAGTATCCCCCGGTGTGCCCCCACCATCATCCTTGGATGCCCTCCCTGCCTGCTGGTGGTGGGAGACGTGGGTGCCCCATCCAGGGAGGTGGGTGTCCCCTTCCCATGGAGGAGGAGGGCTGTGGGTGCCCCGCTGCCTTGCTGTGCTGAGGACCTGCTGGGGAGGGTCCCGGTTCTCCCCCACTGTCCCCCCCCAACTTGTGTCCCCCGTCCCCAGAACGGTTCTCAGGTCCTTTTCCCCTCCGTGTCCCCCCAAATCGGGGGCTGGGGGGGTCAGCAACTGCTGCTTTCCACTGCCTTTGGGCGGGACTGGCCTCCCTCATCTGGGCTCTGCCCACTGAGGGAGGGGCTGGTGGCCCTCAGTCCCTATGTTCAGGGGGTGTGGGATGAGTTAATCGCTTGCCACCACCCTGAGAAATGGGGGAGTCTGATTGGCCTTGGGGCATAGGGTTTCCACCATACCCTTGACTGCTTGGGTGCAGCCCATCACCTCGGGGGGGCACGTCCCCACCCCCCTCGTGCCTTTTGCTGCCCCCTGCCTAGGGGCTGTGTTCTGGGGGGTAGCCCAGCCTCAGGGCTGAGCCCTTAGCCACAAATGCCCCCCCACCACGTGCCTTGGGACACCATGTCTCTGTGCCCCCTTCCCAGCCCTGCAAGGGCTGTGCCTCCTATTTCACCCCTTCCAACCTCGTTTTTTTCCCATGGGGGGGGGTCTGGTGGCCTTACCCCTCCCCTTCAGTTATACTTTATCATGGGAGCCACTCCAGTCGCCGATGGGAGGGGGCACACTTCCCTTCCCCATCCATCTGCAGCTTCACCAAAAGCTGCAAACCCCCCGGGGGAGCGACACCCCCCTACCAGCATTAGTGTGCCCCCCCCCCCCAGCCTTACCCCAGCACCCCCAGCTGGGGCAGGGTGGGAGGCACTGAGGACCCCTCTCCCTGCAGGCTGGGGGTTACCCTGACCCCTGTGGGGTCAGGCTCGTGCCAGGGTGCCCCCAGCCTTGAGGGGCTCTCAGGGAGGGTTTGTGGGGGCCGAGCCCGGCCAGGCCGTTTTTAGCATTGCAATATGGACAATGGCGAGTATCGTTTTAGGGGGAAAACCAACGGTTTCCCCAAAAAATTATGGGTGCCTTTTTACCGCTGTGCCAGGCAAGGGGGGGGGGGCAGTATTGGGGGGGGTGTCATGTGAGGGGTTTTAGCTCTGCGGTGCTGTCCATCTGGCTCATGCCAGCATTGCCCTTCTCCCAGTGTTGGGTGCTGGGGGGCAGGCAGGGGTGCCCCCCCGGCCTGCCCACACCCCTGCACCCCGCCCCCAGGCCTCATCCCTCCCCTCCGGGAGGGTTGAACTCAGCACTTTATATTAGACAAGTCAAACGGCACCAGCGAACCCCCCTGCCCAGCAAGCACCCATGGGTGCTGCAGCCCCACCCTGGGCACCCTTGGGGGGTGGGGGGGTGGGGTGGGGAGGGCTGGGGGACCAGATCCAAGTGCCTTCACGTGATTAAAGCTGTCAAACCATCTTGGAAAGGGGAGTCCTGTGTCAGTGTGTGTGCATGCGTGTGGGTCACTGATGGGGTGCATGGGGCGGGGGGGGCAGGGCAGAGAGCCCATTCCCTTAAGTTGCCCTGGGAAGCTGTGGAATGCTGCAGGTCAGTGCTGGGCGAGCACCCTCAGGCTGCAGGGTTGGTGGGGGCTCACCTCTTGTTCCAAGGGGGCACAGTGATGTTCCACCCTGCTGCCATGACACCCTTGTCCTAACTCCTTCCCCTCCTCCTGGGAGAAGGACAGTGACGCCATGGGGAGAGGTTTCCCACCCCTGAAAAGGGCGGGGAGAAGGGGGTAGAATTTACTGTGTGTGCTCTGCTCCCAGCTTTGGGGCATGATGGGGTGGGGGTTCACAACTGCTTCCTTCCTCACTGTCCCCTAAATAAGGTGTCAGATCTGGAGGTCACTGGGGGGGAGGGGGGAACCGATTCATAACCCACCCTGTGCAGTCTGCTGCCAGCATACAGGCAGTGGGGTGCTGGGGGGTGTCTTAGCTGCCTCCTCCATACCCTTGCTGGCCCTGTGCCTCCCCTCATTAGCGAGTTCTCCATCTTCCCCCATGGCTGCACTAATTACTGAGTTCATTAGTGGCCCAGCGTGTCCGGCTGGGGGCCCAGGGAGGGGGTGAGAGCTCTGGGGCTGGCTTGGGGTCCCCCCTCGTGCTGTACCATCGGGAGGGATACAGCCCTGGGACACGGAGTGGAGTGTGGCCACCGGGGTGTCACCCTCCACCCTGCACCCCTCCAGAGGCTCTGCAGCTGGGTAATGGTCCCATGGGGGGCACTGGTGTGGGTGCACAGGGTGGGAGCTGGCTGGAGTGGTTATGGGTGTTTAGGGGTCCAGCAGTAGCAGAGCCCATCCCTCTGCCGTCAGGGCCCTTTGTTTGTGGCTGACGCCTCCATGGCCTGGATCGGCTCATTGCTATCACTTCAGGGATCCTTCGGGAGGAAAGGCAGGCAGGGTTTGAGGCTCACCACAACCCAGGCCTGGCACCAGGGTTATGGACAGGGTGTGGGATGCTCCTGGCGCTCATGGCCCGGGCTGCTGGCTCAGCAGGGTGTCCCAGATAAGGCAATCCTGCAGGGCTGGGGAAGAGATAAGAGTAAGATGAGCCTGGGGGCCTGCTTGCTGCTGCAATCCACCCACCCCCCTCACCCCCCCCACCCCCAGCCCCCACCCCCCCCGTTTTATGTACCCCCTGGTCATCCCCCAAAACCACCTTTGGGGCTGAAATCCACTGGGCAGGGCGCCAGTCCTCTCTGCCAACGCCAAGAGCATCATCAGATACCACCCACTGGGGCTGGACTTGGGGGCATGGGACAGGGAATAGGGCTTAGCTGTGCCGCCGCCCTGTGCCCTGCTCCATACCACATCCCTGTGCCTCCCTCCCATCCCCAAGGATGAGGCTGTAGAGACCCCCAACACAGGGAGCAAAGCCCATCAGGTAGTGAGCAGACATCTGGCCTCTAGCTGCCAATGTGACATCCTGGGAACAGTCCTGTGTGCAGGGGAGTGATGTGCCCGGTGGGACATGAGGGCATGTGGGATGGGAAGGGGATGACCTGGGAAGATGATGCTGCGCTGCTGATGCCTCTGAGCTGGTAGCACCAACACCCCATCACTGTGGGATGTGGGGAGTGGAGGGCAGCAGTGCAGCCCTGCCCTGTGACATCCGCTGTCACTTTGGGGAATATTTCTGGGGGGCAGGAACAAAAAAAACCCTCATAGGCATGGGCTCAGTGCTTCACAGCTGGAAGGGTTTGGAGGTTTGGGGGACTGTTGAATGGAGGGCAGTGACAGAGCCCATCCCCATGGCATCAGGGCACCTCTGTGTTTGTGGCTGATGCACCCTCATGGCCTGGTTCATGCTGTTGCTATCACTTTCGGGAACCTTTTGGTTGTGTGGCAGGCATCAAAACCCCATCACTGTGGGCTTGGTGCCAAGGGGGACACAGGCCTGGGAATGGCAGCAGGCAAGGGCACAGCACGCCCATAGGCAGGGTGCCATGGGGTGCCCTGTGCTGCAATAGCTCCTGGGGGACAATCAGACCATGAGTAACGGGGCTCTTCAGGTGCCACAAAGCCTTGGAGGGCCACGGGAACCTTGACTCCAGGCTGTTCCTGCCCTTATATGGTGAACATAGGCTGGGACAGGAGGGGACAAAGGTCCCCTGGGTGGTGGCACCCAGCACTTTACCTTGGTGCGCTCACCTGTGGCAGCTCTGCGGGGAAGGTGAGGGGCTGGGGTGGGGGCCGCAGGGTGGGCATGGGGGGCAGCACAACCCACAGCCAGCACAGCTCCTAGCACCGTGGTGGCCTAGGGATGGGGCTTAGGCACACACTCCTGCTCCAGCCTGGGGCTGCACGGGGGGGGGATGCAGGGTGTGAAGGGTGGGATGTGGATGCTGTCAGGGACAGTGCAGTGGGACCAGGTTGGGGTTTGCAAGGCTGGGGGGAGCAGAGGCCCCTCTGCTGGGCACTGCTGGCTCTCCCTGCACTGGCATGGGAGACATGGCTGAAGGCAACCTTGGCAGGACCGAAGCTGAGCCCTGGCGTGCTCAGCACCTCTGTGGGGCTGGGACATGCCCTTCCTGGCGCGCATGGATCTGGCACTGGTTTTGGGAGTTGGGGGGCTGGAGTGGGCAGGGTGTGCTTGTACATACGTGTGTGTGTGCAGGTGGCCATGTGATGCCATGCCATCGTGTGCTGAACCATGCCGGGACAGGGCTGAGCAGGGCCAGCTCCTGCTAGCCCTGGGGAAGAGCAGAACATACCTGCAGTGGTGGCACTCAGCAGGGGAGCCCTGCACAGCCCTGCCCAGGCACAGGGCACCAGAGTGCTCAGGGGACCCCGCTCCTCCCCACTTCAGACCCTGTCATGGAGCACAACAGCCCCCATCTGCTGCAGTGCTGAGGGAACAAGAGACCTGCTTGTCACCAGGGTGCTGGAGGGGTCCCTTACTCCATGCAGCTCTGGATGGCGGTTTATGGCCCAGCCGCTGCAGAAGTGGCAGGGCAGCAGGTGGCATGGCAGGCTGGCTCCATCCCAGCTCTTAATGACACTGCCTGTCATTAACGAGGGTGTTGCCAATGCCCCAGCAGGTCCCCTTGCCTGCAACATCATGGTGGAGCTCAGCAGCAAAGTCAGCAGGACACTCAACAAGACCACGCCAGGCATCCAGATATGGCGAATCGAGGTAGGGATGGGGGCACCCATCACTGGTGTTGGGGGGGGGTGAGGAAGGGAAGACCCCTCTTTTGTGTGCTCAGTGCCTCAGTCTGGGATGTCAGTGCCAGGTTAAACCCACCCAGGTTTGGGGCTGGGGGCAGCAGGGTGTGCAGGGCTGGGGGCAGGGGGTCTGCAGCTGCGCTGACATCTCCTTTCCTTCTGCAGAACATGGAGATGGTGCCAGTGCCCACCAAAAGCTATGGCAACTTCTACGAGGGGGATTGCTATGTCCTGCTGTCGGTAGGGCAGCCTGGGGGCCTGCGGGGGACTGGGGGGGGGGGGATGATGTGGTGCAGGGAGGGGTGTCCCTGGCCAGGGGAGCTTGGGGACATGGGGGCTCTTCTAGCAGAGACTGGTGTCCTGCAGACACGCAAGAGTGGGAGCAGCTTCAGCTACGACATCCACTACTGGCTGGGCAAGGAGTCAAGCCAGGATGAGCAGGGTGCGGCCGCCATCTACACCACCCAGATGGACGATCACCTGGGCACGGTGGCTGTGCAACACCGGGAGGTCCAGGGCCACGAGAGCGAGACCTTCCGAGCCTACTTCAAACAGGGACTCATGTACGTTGGTCACCCCCATGGACCTGCTCCCACAGTGGGTGACGGTGGGAAGGGGTCCTCTGCATGCTCCCTGTGGGGACATCCCCAGTGGTGATGGGGACAGCCCTGTCCCAGTGGGGTGGAGGAGGCAGGAGGAGTATCTGGAACTGGTCTTGCTTCATTCATCACACTTGTGGGTGGGGTGGGGGTCCCTGAACACCTCCCTGTGCACAGAGGTGGGAGGGGAACCCCACTGGATGAAGAAGGGGGGGCTCAGGGCTGACGCCGTGTCCATCCCCTCCAGCTATAAGAAGGGTGGCGTGGCTTCGGGAATGAAGCACGTGGAGACAAACACCTACAACATCCAGCGCCTGCTGCATGTGAAGGGCAAGAAGAATGTGGTGGCAGGAGAGGTGTGTTACAGTATGGGGGGATCCTCAGCCATGAGGAGACACTGTTTGCGCTCTGGATCAGTCCAGGGCCTCCACAGACCCAGCAGGGGACAGAATGGGTGCGTGGCCACACCGCCTTGCCACACGAGCATCCCCACCCCCCAAAAGCCACTCTTGAGTTAGGAAGGGGAGCTACAGGCTGGAGGCATCAGCACTGAGCCAGGGCAGGTGGGGGCTGTGGAGCCAGGGTGACCCTGCTGCTTAATATCCCTCCCTTCAAGTCCCTTCCCATGGCAGGTGGAAATGAGCTGGAAAAGCTTCAACCAGGGGGATGTGTTCCTGCTGGACCTGGGACAGCTCATCATCCAGTGGAACGGTCCTGAGAGCAACCGGAACGAGCGGCTGAAGGTTCGGACGGGGGTCCCAGGGCTCCTCCCCAGAGCACGGAGGAGGAAGCCACCCCCCTCCCCAGCCCGGGCTGACACTTCCTCCCCTGGGAGCAGGCGATGACCCTGGCCAAGGACATCCGTGACCGGGAGCGTGGAGGCCGTGCCAAGGTGGGAATAGTGGATGGGGAAGACGAGGCCGCCTCACCGGGGCTCATGCAGGTGCTCACGCATGTGCTGGGTGAGAAGAGGGACATCAAGGCGGCCATCCCTGATGACAAAGTGGACCAGAAGCTCAAGTCCTCCCTCAAGCTCTACCAGTGAGTTGCTGGGTGTTAGTCACCCATGGGGGCATCTCGCAGGGTGCCAGAGGGACCCAGCACCCATCTCTGCTGTGTCACACAACTCCTGTGCCCATGAACACACAGCAAGAGGGGTCAAGGCCAGTAACAGGGGTGAGTACAGATCCTTTGGATGCTGTTGGAGCAAGGGGAACCCCTGGTACCAACAGGGATGGTATCTGACTGGGAGATGCTCGTGCATGTGTGACCTTTGGATGCAATGGCAACGTCCCTGGGTGGCCCCATCACATCTGACACCCCCGTTGTCCCTCCTCATGGCAATAGGCAGGGCAAGATGCAAGCCAGGTTGCCACCATGGCAGGGCAAGAAGGAGGGGATGGGAACACTGCCACCATCAGGTGGGGATGGGGAGGGGGTTTTCTAGCCCTCTTTCTAACCCCTCCTCCTCTCTTTTTCCCCTGCCAGTGTCTCCAATGCCAGTGGGAATCTGGTGATACAGGAGGTGGCGGTTCGACCCCTGACTCAAGACATGCTGCTGCATGAGGTGTGTCACCAGTTCCATGCTTAGGGGTGCCCAATTTCCTTGACAGCTTCAACCCTTCAAAAGCCAGTTTGGTGGGATTTGCCCCAAAATTCTGAATTTCTGCTGTTGTGTCCCCTCCAAGGACTGCTACATCCTTGATCAAGGAGGTCTCAAGATCTTTGTGTGGAAGGGCAAGAACGCCAACAAGGAGGAGAAGCAGCAGGCAATGAGCAGGGCGCTGGTGGGTGCTGTGCCTGGGACTGGTGGTGGAATAGCCTGGGTGCTCCCCAGGGTGCTGGGCACCCCATGCTCACACTCAGGGTCTGAATCTCCCCAGGGCTTCATCAAAGCCAAGAACTACCCGGCCAGCACCAGTGTGGAGACGGAAAATGATGGATCTGAGTCAGCCATCTTCAGGCAGCTCTTCCAGAAGTGGACCGTCCCCAACCAGACTAGTGGGTTGGGGAAGACTCACACTGTAGGCAAAGTGGGTGAGTGTCCCCTTTTGAAGCTGTAAGACTCCGTGGATTGGGATGGGGTGGAGGGGGGGAGGGGCTATGGGGACCCCGTGACTGGTGGGGTATGGCTCATCCCTCTCACCTTCCTCACAGCCAAAGTGGAGCAGGTGAAGTTCGATGCTACCACGCTGCACGCGAAGCCCCAGATGGCTGCCCAGCAGAAGATGGTGGATGATGGAACTGGGGAGGTGGAGGTAGGGTGGCCAGGGCAGGATGCGGGATCCTCTCAGGGCACTCCCTGGGCTGCACTGGGGGATGCTGTGGGGCCCAGAGGCTGCAGGGCAGGGGGATACACCAGCCCTGGTAGCAGCACATCCCTGTCCCTTTCCCACCAGGTCTGGCGTGTGGAGAACCAGGAGCTGGTGCCTGTGGACAAGAGGTGGCTGGGCCATTTCTATGGTGGGGACTGCTACCTGATTCTTTACACTTATTTCGTGGGGCCCAAGGTGAACCGCATCATCTACATCTGGCAGGTGAGACCTGCATGTCACTGACCCATGGTGAGGGACGGGGGCACCTCCCTGGACTGGGGATGCTCTGCCCTACACATGGTTCCATGGGATTGGCGCAAGGGTTCCCTGTTCCCGAGAGGGAAGAGGGGGCTGCGGTGGGCACTGAGCCCTGCTCTGCCCTGCCCAGGGCCGCCACGCCAGCACAGACGAGCTGGCTGCCTCTGCCTACCAAGCCGTCATCCTGGACCAGAAGTACAACAACGAGCCTGTGCAGGTCCGCGTCACCATGGGCAAGGAGCCAACCCACCTGATGGCCATCTTCAAGGGCAAGATGGTGGTGTACGCGGTGAGCAGGGGTGCCGGGGCGGGGAGCGGGGAGCCGCTGGTGCCGGTGGTGACCTCCCCTTCCTGCCCCGTCCCTCCAGGGTGGCACCTCGCGGTCGGGCAGCACAGAGCCCACACCCTCCACCCGCCTCTTCCACGTGCACGGCACCAATGAGTTCAACACCAAGGCCTTCGAGGTGCCTGTCCGCGCCTCCTCCCTCAACTCCAATGATGTCTTTGTGCTCAAGACCTCCGGCTGCTGCTACCTCTGGTATGGGAAGGTGGGTACAGCTGGGCACTGCGGGGGTGCTGACACCCCCACAGGACATGTCTCTACCTCTTCTCCCTGCGCTGGGGCTGGTGACGGAGCGGCTGTGCTTGCTTGGCAGGGATGCAGCGGGGACGAGCGCGAGATGGGCAAGACAGTGGCTGACATCATCTCCAAGACAGAGAAGCTGGTGACCGCAGAGGGACAGGAGCCACCTGAGTTCTGGCTGGCCCTGGGGGGCAAGTCCCAGTATGCCAACAGCAAGAGGTACAGGCAGTACCTACACACCCTTGGGGATGAGATGGTCTACCGGTTCCCAAGTGGGGTGAGCCCCTTTCCTACCACCACTACCACAATGCCCCCCACCAGGCTGCAGGAAGAGAACCCCTCCGTGCCCCCCCGCCTCTTTGAGTGCTCCAACAAGACAGGCACCTTCTTGGCCACGGAGATTGTAGACTTCACCCAGGATGACCTGGAGGAGAATGATGTTTATGTGCTGGACACCTGGGATCAGGTTAGCTTAGGGGCATGGGGTGGGGGACACCTTTGATCCCAATGTCCCCAGGGTGGGTGTAGGACCTGCAGCAGCTGGAGATGGCCGGATGGGAGTCTGGAACCCACCATGTCCCTGGCCAGCCCTTGCTTGGTAAAGGAAATTGCTTTCCATCCCCTCACTCCAGGGTTATATGAGATAGACTCCCGGTGCCCTTCCCTGGGGACAGATCCCATGTACCCCCAGCCATGGGTTGGTCATGGCCCCAGAGGGCCCGGTCTCACCCCAGTGGCAGACATAATGTCCTCATTCCAGGTTTTCTTCTGGATTGGGAAAGGCGCCAATGAGTCAGAGAAGGAGTCGGCGGCGATGATGGTGCAGGAGTACCTGCGCAGCCACCCCAGTGGGCGCGACCTCGACACCCCCATCATTGTGGTGAAGCAGGGCTATGAGCCCCCCACCTTCACTGGCTGGTTCCTGGCCTGGGACCCTCTCAACTGGGCTGTGAGTCATGGAGGGGGCCTGGAAAGACCAGGCGGGCCTTTGCAGATGTGCCCAGATGTGGATCTGGCTGCAGCTGGCACTGGCAGGGTGCACGCAGCAGCTTGCCTGGTCCTTGCCCAGGGACTGAGCACTTTTGTCACCTTCCAGGATAAGAAATCCTACGAGGAGCTGAAAGCCGAGCTGGGGGACGAGAGCAGCCTCGGGCAGCTCACCTCAGTAAGTGGCACAGGGAGAAGGGTGGGAAGGGGCGCAGAATGTTCCTCCGTCCCCTTGCCAGGTGACACAGAGCTGCAAGGACGTCATCCAAGGACATGTCCTTGCAGCTGGTGCCTCTGTCCTGGGGCCGCCCTGATGCGTCCCTTTCCCCCCGACCCAGGCGCTCACATCCAGGCAAGAGGTCTTCACCGCCACCACCCCCCTGCTCCCCGAAAAGCTGGAGGTCTTCCCCCTGGATGTGCTGGTGAGCACCGCGGCTGAGGACCTGCCACGGGGTGTGGATCCCAGCAGGAAGGAGGTGAGAGGAGGCTGGGGCTGCTAGGGGAGAGGCGAATGGGGGGAGCCCCCCAGCCTCAGCTCAGCCTCCTCTCTCCTCCCCCAGCGCCACCTCTCTGACCAGGACTTCCAGGCTGTTTTCGGCATGAGCCGCTCCGCCTTCGGCAGCCTGCCCTTGTGGAAGCAACAGACGCTCAAGAAGGACAAAGGACTCTTCTAGGGCAGAGCCTGGGCACAGGGATAACCCCGGCTTGTTGTTTGTATTAAATAAAATGGATTTGGCAAGCAGGGCTGTGTGTACCCCTGGGCTCAGCCCAGAGGCAGGGCTTACTGGGCAAAGCGGTGGCACTTGTCGGCACACAGGTCTTGAGCAGGCACCGAGGCAGCACAGGGACTCCTGTGCCCTGGGTCCTTCCTTTGCCCCCCTGCTCTTTGATGAGACCCACAAGCTGCCCACAACCCAGGCCCCCATCATGGGAGTCAGGGCTGCCCCATGCAGCCCCAGTGGCACCTCGGGGCTAAAGGTCTGGTACAGAGCTGGAGCTCCTCCCTGTGCTGTCACGTGAACCTCAGTAAATAAGTGCTGGACCAAAGGTAAGAGCAACAAGCAACAGGCTGATGGGATGGAGTGCGTGAGGGACAGACACCAGGGAGCACCTGTGTGTCCTTGCCCTGGGAGAGGAGAGCATCTCCCTCCTTCTTAGGCTCCACAGGAAGCCATAGAGGAACTGGTGGGTCTCACCCCAGGGACACATCTCTGGTGTATGGGAAGGTGCTGAACACACACATGATGTTCTGGGACACGTGAGCAAAGGCCCAGTGCCAAACAGGGAGCAGAGGTGCCCATTGTCTGTGGTATCCAAGAGGCAGAATGGAAAAAAAGATCTCAAACCAAGAGAGGGTTAATAAAGATGTGTTTATTTCACAAAAATCTATCTACACATCATTTAAAAAGGGGGGGGGGGGGAGGGGACCCAAGAGCAAAAACTGTAAAGAATAGAGAGGAACAGGTCTGCTAAAACACAGAGAAAAGTGCTGCTCCACATCAACAGTGTAAAGAACCAGAAAGTCAGGATGCAGGCAGGAACCGGCAGCAGCCACCTCAGGGCAGGCAAGGCTGGAGTCAGCTGCCAGGGGTCCTGCACCCCGTTCTTCTCTCTTTGGCAGGTGCTTACAGGGATAATAGCTCCATTAAAAAGAAAACAAAGCAGATGAGTTATGCCCAGCCCTGCCCACCCTCCCTGGGGCATAGTGATCCCCACATGTGGAGTGACTGCAGCAGAAACCGCTGGGCTGGCTCAGCCCTTCCTTGGGATGCAGGACAGGAAGGAAGATGCACAGGTGATGGTTATCTGTGCTGCAGCGAGAAGGAGGCGATGCTATGGCCCCAGCATTGGAGAGGCCCACTCCTCCTCCTGGCTCCTTGCATTGGTGTCAGGCTGCTGCCCTGGCTGGGAAGCCAGTCCTTGCTTTGCAAAGGCTCTTTGTGCAGCCCTGCTGGCCAGGGCTCTGCTGGGACCCCCTGCCATGAGCTCCAGTTCATTGACAAGAATGGAGTAGGGGAGTAAATCAAGAACAAATTACCAGAGGCAAACAACAGAGGGGCAAGAAAAATGGCGAGACTGGAGTTCCTTGCATTCATATGCTGAATCACACTTGGACTGAACTAGGCTGATTCAGGAGCGGGTAAATGTTTAACCACAACCCTGTACATGTGGGGAAGAGCCTACAAGTGTTAACAGACTGCAACTGAACTTCTCCACCTACCTAAACCCCAGGATGGGCATCCCACATAGGAGCGATGATCATCTTATTGAACCTGCTGCTGGAACAGCACGAGGGGTGGGAACATCTCAGCTGTTGGGCAGCGCATCCCTTGAGGATCACACACCTGCCTGCCTCCCCACTGCTCTTGGACACAGAGAAAGCTGGCTTCTGCAAGGGAGGGGCTCCATGGACCCTCCTGCCAGGGTGAAGGTGCAACTGAGCTGCTGCATGCCAAATGAAAAAGCTTAAATTAAGTTACTAGGTGCCTGCAAATTCTTAATAGCTAGAATAATAAGCAAGAACTTTTCACAAAACAAGGAACACAGGTTTCAAGCATCAGCTTTCGCACTCTGACCCAACCAAAACCTGGTTTTAAACAAAAATTACTGCACTGAAAAGTCAGGCAACGTTTGCTTTTATTATAAATTAACGGGAGTGCAGCGCCTTGCAAAAACAACCTTGTCACCCAAAAAAAAGCAGAGCTGGCTTCTGGCACTACAGGAATACTGGTTATTTACAGCACTAGCATAGGATGCGCTTGGGGAAAACAGGTTTGCCCTCTGGCCGGAGCAGTCCGTCACATTCGCAGGGGCGAGCAGTTCAAAGGACAGCTCCCACATCTCTGCCTCATCCCACAGCCTGCAGTTCTACCCAAATTAGTATCCACAATAGAAAAGTATAATGCTTTATAATAAATTAACATACACACCCACCTGGGCTGCATCTTGCAAGATAAACGCTCTGTCATGTTTACAACCAAATGTTGGCTCCTAGCTTGGACACCAGAAAGATGTCACCCTGACCAGGTCCCTGGGCTCATCTGACATGGGGACCGCAAGGTCAGTCACAGTCTTTTCAACACACTGGGGTCCCCAGAAGCCCTTGGTTTAGGGAGGACTACTGATGGCTGTAGGTCCCTGCTGTGCACAGGGGTGAGAAGAGGCCACTAAGGTAGCACCCCCCTGCCAGGAAGTGTGGAAGTGTCCATGAAAGGGGCCTGATGTCTCCTAAATTGATGTTTTTGTCTGCTTTGCTTCAGCTGATTTATTCCTGAGAAACTCCTAAGGATAGTTTAAAAAACCCAGAAATTACCTCAACAGCAAAAAAAGTGTTTGGTTTTGTTTCTTTCTTTTTTTTAAAAAAAAAAAACAACCCAACAAACCAGCAGAAGTCTTACACCTCTAAAACTCATGCTGCAAAAATATCAGAACTAGAGGCCAAACCAAGAGCAACACTACTCTGCTTAACAGCAACGTCTCTGAAATGAGTAAATGCCAGCAAAAGGAAACTGCCCCGCTAAATCAGTGCCAAGGTGCTGAAAAACTGAAGTCACTTGGCTTCCCCCCTTCCCTGCTGAAACAAGTTGTCAAAGGAGCTTCATGCCTCAAAATCCAATAAAACACAACACTTCTTCCTAACCATGTTCTGTTAACGCTGAACATGGGCTTTCTGAAAGCTTTCCACCTGCTTTAGTTTCACAGTTTGAGCGCTCTGTGCTCTTCAGAAAGGAGAACAGAAGCATAGCTGCAGTAAAACCCCTCTTGCCTTCTCTTCTTGGGATACAGGAAGACCAAGGCAAGACCATGGTTCAGTCAAGAGCAATTCAAGTGCCAAGTGCTACCCTGCAGACCCCTTCCCCATCACTCCTGTTTCACAATGCCCCAGGCCTGCGCAGAAAAGGTAAGGCTAGAACACAGAACACTCTTTCACTCCAAGAAGATGCAAAGTGGCTGTTGCTCACCTCCTGCTGCTGTTCTCAGTCTGCTCCAGGTGTTCACCTACCCCCAGAATTACACTGGAGCAGCCCCAAACAATGTCACTTCAGTGCTAAATACTGCACACCCAAAGAAGAGACCTCTCCTCTCCAACACAAAACAACCACCTCATGAAGAAAATCAAATAGTAAAACTTGTAAAACAAAAGAAATCACATCTATAATCTCACATCTAAATAAGGATGACAGTGAATGGTGTAAAAAAACAAACCCAACAGAGCTGCCACCAGGTATGCAATACATTCCACAGCACCGACAGTTTGTTTCCTGGAAGCACAGGTAAACAGTGGAGCACTTCCAAACCCACGGATGTCAAAACCCATCAGCTTGAGTGATTCCAAAGACGAGTGGCGAGAGCGTACCCAGTGATCTGGGTTTCCAGTGAATATTACTAACACAACACACGCCAGGTTACCGAATCTATTGCTTAAATTGCTCTCGGATTAAAAAAAACCCAACAATAAAAACAAAAAAGCCAAGTGATATGTAAATCTTCACCACTCACTTCTCACAAGTGAATGGGCTTTTAAAGTCGAGTCTCTTTTTGCACTATTTGTTTTAAACCAGTTCATGAGCAGCTGTAGTCTTGTGGCTTGATGCAATTCTTTAAGGCTCCATGCTGACAAAATTATCTGAGGAACAATAAAAACTTCACCACAGGAGGACTGCTCTGGGATGTCGAGGTTTAAAAGCGTGGTTCAGGCCCAGGACTTGCACAGATGTTCAGCAAAGCGAGCGTCCCATATTTCTACCTTTTGCCTCTTGTTTTGGCCCTGAGCTGTTTGTTAACTCCTGTGTGGCTGGCACAAGTTCAGAACCTTCCTTGTTCCTCGGGAGGAACAAGGTGTTTTACTCTTCACAGAGGCTGACGAACTGATCTTCCTACTTCCATGCTAAGTGGCTGTGCATTTTTCTCTGTTTCTAGTAACTCATCAAAGATATCCCTAGAACAGAAGGGAAAGACCAGTAGTGAAACTTAAGTACAACAACAGACTGCTACATAAGACACCCCTGAGGAAATCAGCCACTGGATTTAATCCACAACCTCAAGCTCATGGATCCTGGCAGAGAAAGGTGTTTTATCTGGCACCTCAAAGCCAGGCTCCTTGAATCCCACAGCACTTCTTTTTAACTTTTTAATTTATTACAGTGAATAAGGTCAGTACTAAGCCTCAGAGAACAGTAACAATAGTCAAAATAACTCCTGGCTGGTAAAAGGCTCAGAAGCAACACAGGACACAGCCTGCAGATGAAGTAATATCTTTTATTAAAGCAAGCAGTAAAGACAGATGAAGGGGACAAACTCAGGCATAGAACCCCTTCTGCAGTTTCATGTGCCTGAAAAGATACCACTTCTACCTACAAACCTCATCTTACCTGTGTCCCAAGATGACACTGGCTGCAACCACGCAACCACACAACCACCAGGAACAGAGACAGGGCTTTTACAAATATCACAGTGCTTAAGGGAAAAACCCAAGCTGCATTATGATTCCTGGTGCGATGAATGCATAGCTGAGACTCTGAATCCCCTTCTTAAAATACAATTTAATGCATCATGTTAAAACCCTATGTATTAGTGACATACCATTCCACGTCTCTGTACTCAGAGCACTTGAATTTTGTCATTCTTGCATATAATTCTGACTATGATTTCTTCTGACAAATACATGGAGGCACTTTTCATCCCAGCAGGATGAGGAGGAAGAAGAGAAGCCCACTTCCTCTTCTTCCAGCACCAGAATTCCCCAAGACACCTACTTGTGCATGTAGAAGAAGATGTAGCCACTTCGATCTCTGTCACACTGAACGGTGGCCTCTAGTGTTCTAGACACTTCCAGGTCATTGTAGGTGAACCAGGACTGCTTCTTGATATCATAGACATCACTGATATAATGACCTTTAAAACAGAGAATGCACCTTTCTTTTCATGCTGCAGTTCAACCAGTAAGCTGGTTGGCTGGATACTCTGGTCCAGCAACCTACATCAGATTTAAATGCTAAAGACCCTCAAGATCCTGGTCCCTCCATCCTTCCTGGGCAATAAGCTGGTAACAAGCACAAGCAATTCCACAAACCCTGTAAGCAGTACACCATACATATGCTGCAGTGAGGGACTATGACATCCTCAACCTGCTTCCCACCAGCAAACCATGACAGAAGACTTGCTTTGCTGCCGGAACTCTTCTCTGCAAGTAATCCTGGTATGGTAATGCTGTATTATAGAATTCTTAAGCTAGGTAGCAGATGAAGAATAAAATACAGTATCTTTTACCTGAAGATGATGTGCTTCCGATGTGGCTGACAATGCTTATGAGACGATACGAGTGAGGAAGCTCTCCTGTCTAAAAAAAAAAAAAATAAATAGTTCAATTAAAGCTTTTGGGCATTCACTCTTGTCCTACACAGCTTATGGGCAAGACGATTTGTATCTGAGATACCAGCTTTGGCTACTGCATCCAAAGCTACAACTCAACCAAAGATTACGGAAACACACACCCTGGTTCAGACCAAACAAGGGGTCTTTCCAGAAGTGGGAAGAAGCCTCCCATCTTATTTAATCTTTCAGCAAGCCAATGAACATGCAAGAGAGCCACTGTGACCCCAGAACAGATGCTGACATGAGGTCTGCACTGCAAAGTTTTCTAAACAACCACTTCCTGACCGACTTCCACTGATGTCAGAATTCATTCACCAAATAAACATAGAAAGGCAAAAAGGGAACACTTCTGATATATCAAAGAAATACCCTTGATAATGGCACACAGATTTAACAGCTAACACAGGATATCTTTAAGGTCCCTTCCAACCCAAACCATTCTATGATTCTGTGTAGCCCAGATTCTCTCATCCTGCACCTGTAATGTTAGCAGACAACGCCCCTTCTGCATGCAGGAAACATGCTTGCTCTGTTCACTGCCAATAAAACTAAACGACAGTAATTGGCTTTTGGCAATATTTAATGCTCTCTGACCAGGAAACATTATTGACATGATTCACTGACAATACTCTTAGAATATTAACTCTTGGTTTAAGGGTAAGGAGATCAGTAAAGAGCTGCAAGAAAATAAAAACTGCTCAAAGAAACTCTAGTTACTTAACCTTTTCCATACTACACAGTACTCCTTCCACCGAGGCAAGCAGGCAAGTTTCACAACACTGCTGCGTGGAGTCTGAGCGTGCCAGCAGCCAGCAGCACAGCCTAGGTTACAGTTAGGTTTCATCTAATGGGAGTAAGACATTGCCACAGCTTCTCAGTTCTGGTGGTGCAGGATCTAGAAGCCCATGGCATTGCAACTAAACTACTACACTGGCTGAAGTCCTCTCTGCAAGTAAAAATTTCAGGCCCACTGCTTTACATGCACTGAGACATTTCTGGTATAAAATCACTGTTTCCTTTTCATCATTATCCACATCTTAGAGAAACTCAGAAGGTCTCGGCAGCTGTTCTGTTTTGGTTTCTTAAAATTAAAAGGACATCAAAGGGGAGACCCTTTCTAGACTCTACACCTGCTCTGTAAAACTATCTCCAACACTAAACTGATAGGAAAGAAGGGGTGTATGTCTCAGTTAGCTTTTGAAATCATAGATCACACCTCAGCGTTTCTTTTCAGCTCTTCTGCTTCAGCTTCTGAATATTCCATGTCAAGAACATCTTCATTCCCAGAGTCTTCGTCAGAACCAACACTGTCCAGGAGAGAGCTGTTGAACTCTAGATAGCATGGAACAATGATATTGCATAAGAAGCCATAGCACACACAGGAATTCACAACAGGTTGGGGTATATCTAATCACATAAACAAAATGCTAATGCTTCAAGCTTCCTTTCCAAGGAAAGTATGGGATACTGGAATTTCCAAATAAAAACTTTCTCTCCCTTCCCCAATTTGTCAGAGCAATAGTTAAAAAAAGTATCTTAGACTACAGAATTCATTTTAGCATCCTCTCCCTCATACTTTTACAAAAGGGCACTATGGCAATGACAGCTGGGTGATAAAAGAGCACTTAACTACCCAGTTCACGCCAGAGCACCAGTCATCTGTAGCCAGAATTGATATTAAAAGCAGTACAGTCTAGTCAGTGCACTGTAAGATTCTGCAACAAGCAGCTATGAATTACAGTTTTAACTATAAGTTGCAATAACAAAGTGCATTTTCCAATTAAAACTGGCATAAAAATGCTACTGCTGGCAGCAGGCATCTCTTCACTGCTTTTCAATGGTAAGAAGGCTGCTCACCGCAGGAACTTCCAGTTTGCTTGGCTGAGCAAAATGCAGGCAGCTTTCTGTAAAGAGCCGGAAGGCACTAGTGCTCCCTGTACATGCTGTTCCAAACTTCCTGAGATTCTGCAGCTACCCCACTAATTTAAGATTTGGTACAGTACTCACTAGAAGCAGCTACGCTTTTACCAGCGAAATGAAAGCTGTGGAGCCCTTGGCGGATGAGAAGTTGAGATTAACAGGACACCGCTCAGGGTTTGGGATTTTTTCCCCCTTAAAAAGACTGTCATGCTGGTTATGATGGAGATGTTTTCCCAAAGAGATTCTCACACTGCTTTCCCTGTTAAGTCATCAGACACTGGATTAGTATAATCTTCTCAGGAAGTTTATAGATGAATCCCTCTAGCTGAGAATATTTTACTGCTGGTTTCCACACTTCTTGGGGCTGTTGGCTCTGTAAGATAGACTGCAGCCAAGAAACGCAATCACTTAGGTAGGTTTCTGCATGAAGCACTTGCCACAGCTATTGCTAAACGCCACTTCACCAGCGGACCCTGGATAACTAGTGGTTCTTTGATTGGAGCACCACTGGGAGCCTGCCTAAGACAAATACTAGCAGCTACAACTTTGAGATTGTAAGCAGGAACTTCAACAACTGCTGCTGATGTTGCCTTACAAATGAGACAATAGCAAGTAGAGAAGCACAAGGCAACTCTCATGTTTAAGTTAAGCAACTGCAAATCAGGAGGAGGAAGGATTTCTCGCCTTGAATTCTTCCTGGACACGAATCGAGGCAGACCTGAAAAGGACTGGGCACTCAGTCTGCCAGAGCTCATCAGGGGACACCACTCAAGACTGGGGGACGCTAAGGCAGCATTCAATTTACTTTGCTTCTCCTCAGAAGAAGACACAGGTTGATCCAGTAATAACCAAATGTCTTTAAAGGTGCCTGAGCAACTACAAGAACCTTAACACAAGACTTCATTACCCCTCTCTCTCCCTCTTTGGAGGGGAACTTTTTCTGTTGCTTTACTCTGCCAGATTGTATGAAATCACTCGCATGCTAGCCTCACACAAATGTTAAACAGTGCCTGAGGCTCACCACACTGCCTGGATTTGGAGAAGGCAGATAGTGTATTTTGGATTTCTATTTTCATCCCCAACAGCTATACCTTGCAGTGAGGTCTGTGTCCCTCCCAGCCTGCTTCAGATACAGCACTCACTCGTTTTCCTGGGCAAGGCCAGTGCATTTGCTAATTAGCACTGCAATATCAATGCAAGTAAGAAATAATCCTTATGCTCCGACTAGAGCCATTAGCATGCTGTTTTTTGCTGGGAATGAAAAATTTCAAGGTCCATTTTGCTCTCTCTAGATCAATATTAAACATATAATACATTTATTGTATTACATTAGATATATTTAACATATTACTTATATGTAATCTATATATATTATAGATCTAATTAAAAACTCAAGAAACTGAAATCAGTCATTTTTCATATTAAGTTTTTCCTGGCATTTGCTTTCACAACCAAGAGCAAGAAAAGCTAACCTGAGCAAAGCCAAACACAACAAAGCGCACGCCTAAAGAACATGAAATCCCAGCTGTCTTACAGACACTGAGGAGCTGCACTCATACACACAGATCTATTTTCCCTCAAAAGCAACATCATGGAAGAAGTTAAATAAGCTTTACCTTGTAGACTTAATTCCGTGGCTCGTTTAAGGTCATCATCCTCTTTTTGTTCTCGTGCCTCCTAATGGGAAGAGAACAAAACTCAGCTCATTGAGACACTTCACTGTTTAAAATTCTTGTGGTGCTCTTTTTCCATTGAAACTGTGCTGTTCTGGTTTCTACAACAAACCTGACACTAAATTAAAGGTTCTGTGTGAAGGAATGTTTGCAACCAGCAAGAATCCAATGTTCTCGTGCAACAGAACCTGGGACAAACCTTCATTAAGGCTCGTCAAAGCTCCTGAGGTTTGGTATGCAGCAGAGCGAGTCTCCAGTAACACCAAACGCTTTCCCTGGATCATTAATTTGAAAAGCATCTGAATGAATTTGCAACCCTTCACTAAGGAAAGCTGTCACCTACACACAAAGCTCCTCACACTTCGACAAAATTTAGACTACTTCTGCCCAAAGCTGGCTGAGGACAGAATCATTATATCCTGACAGATTTCATTATTTTTAAGCCCTTAGAAAGCAGAGCCAGTGGTTGTGTAAAGCAGGTGTAATTTACAAAGGCAGGATGCAAAAATCCCCACCACTAAACAACCAGGTATTAAAAATATTACCATGAACAAGTAGCAAAGAAACCTCAAGTCAACAAACTCTTCTAATCTTCGGATAGCATCACACCCCTGTTCCTCCCACCACTCTTGGAAAGCTCAGAGCTGCAACAAGCCATTCAATAATATTTAATGAGCTGGCTCCTTAATTCAGGGTTTGAATGCTTTCAGTGCACCTGAACACAGAACCCTAACTATGTATTTCAAATGAAGATAACCACAGCTACCACATTTCCATGCCTGAATCATTAGAATAGCAGATTTTCGCTTCAGAACTGTAGCAGAACAACACTCAAAGGGCAGTTTTACATTATTAGCATGAGGCCTTTTATCTTACTATTTCTAAAGCATTTGGGAATCTTTGTTAAACTACTCAGCATTGCTGAATCAAAGCTACATCTGGCATGGAACACACCAACCCACACTTCATAATGAGTAATGGTAGAGAAAAATCCAAGAGCCATGGAAACATTAGATCTTATAAGGAAAACCATGACAGCTTTAGTATTAATAGAGAGCAAACAAGGGCACCTATTTAAAGAAAGACCTGGCTGAACGCTTGCTTCACTCTCAGCAGCTTGGTTAAACTTGTGGAAATCAGTCACAGATCTTGAAATTTTAAGTGGAATACAGATGGTTAGTACACAACTTGAGATCCCAATTCTTTTCAAGTCTAATTTAAAGGACTTGTTTTAGATGAAATTACCTGAGATCCTTTTTTCAATTTATTAACAGAGAAAAATCATATAAATGCTCAGTTCCTACATTCTTTCTTCACTAAGCATCCCCTACTGGCTAGTACTAGAAATGAGGCACTGGGATAGACAGATCTTTAACCTGACCCGGCACAGTTGTTCTTAGGATTTGGTCTGAAACCTGCCACTTTCACTGAGTCTTGCCATGACAGGTTGCAAGAAGCAACTGTCAGGAAAGCTAAAGGTGAGCTTGGTTCTCATTGACAGGCAGTAAGAGCTTAGTTCAGTTTATCATCATTTTTATATAATGTTACAAACACCAGTGTATAAATGCGCATGGAAAGCTTTGAGAAATCTGCAGGTCTGTGATGTGATACGTGGTTTCCAAAGCACACATAAAATGTGCCCAGATATATTCAGTGCCATCACTCTACTGACACTGGAGCTAGAAGAAACCCAAACCTTTTTTCATCTGGTTTTCTCAAGTGAAGCAGCCAAACCCCTCTGCAGTTACTGCCCGAACACCAGCTTTTGCTTCAGCCATCGGGTTTCCAGTGATGGGCAAGGTAAGTCAAGGAAGTAAACTTTATTTCTTACTTGCTCTTGAAGGCTTTGAGCCAGTGCCTGCTGAAGCTCTTGTTCTTCCCTCTCTCTCTCCATGTCGTACTGCTGCAGCCAGTCAACCTCCCCCTGGGAGCCTTCCGGAGTTTTGTTTTCCTTATTCTCATCAAAATCTTTAGTTATCTCAGTGAAATTGGCAGGACCTGGGGAATGAGAAAGTACAGATATGTTTTCCTGGGTCTTCTGTTACCAGCTAAATCCTCTTTAAATCACCACAACCCTTGCAGCACAGTGACATCTATTGACAGCGAGAGTTCACCAGCCATGAACAAAAGCACACAAGTCAAACAGAAAAAGCTCCAAAGCACAGTCTTGCACTTATTCCAACAGGTGTAAAATGAATCATTTCCTTAATCCCTAAACCTGTTTCTCTTCTCAGCCTTTTGTTCAGGAACAGCAACTTCAACTAAAGCAAGATGTCACAAGGCACTAGGTTTCTGTAGCCATGAAGCCGACACTTGAATTTCTCTAGAAAGAACTGTGGATTATAAAAATTTGCATTGCATATTATACCTCAGAATGCTACAGACGAAGCCACAATTAAAGGCAAATCATATGTAAGACAGAGGGAAGCACAGATCTTAAGCACTATTTAGATTTTTTAACTTTTTGCTTCAGGTAAGAGCTTTAATCTTGTGAACACCATCTACAGCATTAAAAGCGCAAGAACATTATAACTTTTCAGTTCACCTTTAAAGTGAATGCTGTGGCAGAAGTATCTTACAAAACTTCTAGCATGAACATTCATTCGACCATTGCATCTATCTCCTGCAGTTGCAAGACACCTCCCATCTGCTCGCAGATGAGAAAGTGAGGACCTGCTCCCACAGTTTTATCACACAGCAACATGTGAAGCTTTCATAGTTTTGCCCTATGCAGACTTCAACATCTGCTCGTTAGTTATTAGCTAGGATTGTACAAGGCAGTCTCAGCATCTGTGAGCTCTTAAATACAAGACCACCAGAGCCAGAACTATAATCTGCAAGTCTAATCTTCTTAAGATGAAAAACAAAACTGAATTTATTACATGACCTTTGAACACTTCCAGCATAAGAAGAGACAACTCACAAAACTGTTATTTGAGGATCATGTAGCAAAAAAAAACATCCACTGCCATATCTAAATTAGCTTTTTTTGAAAGCCCCACAAATTATTCAGTCTTTACAAAAAAAATACTATTACCGGCAGTAACAAAAAATGGACGAGGTTAAATCTGGCATGTTTAGAATCATCTTGCGTGTTACAGCAAAGGATCTCTTGCAATTACGTTTCCTTTAAATAGAACAGGAATGTGAACCCAGGGCATGTTACATCCAGCTGCCATAACTGGTAACTCAGCATACACACACAGCTCATCTGAATGCCAAACAGAATGCTTTGAAGCAGTGCTTTGGTCAGACACAGTCAAATATAAAAAGCTCAACGTAATGTTCAGTGTTTACTTCATTCTTAAACAGAAAATACAGAAACTTTTATTAAAGACATACTTGTCACAAAGTGACACAATATTGTGTCACATGCTGTCACAATAGAGTCTTCAAATAATTACATTAAACGCTCCAAAAAAAACCTGGAGATACATTTATGTGACCATGTTCACAACTCTTTTCACACAGCCGTAAGGAACATTAGTGTACATTAAGGAGGGCACAAATGAGGCTGACCACAGACTTAGTTTTCTTTACACACTGCCTTCTGACATGAAAGCTGTCCATTGAAACAAGTGTGATTTTTGAGAACAGAGTAGTGCTTGTTGTTATTAACAACTAACCTCCTGGCTCTTGGAGGAGAGCATACTGTTGGCCTGTTTTTCCAAGCTAGTGGAATTTAAGATCTGTCTGAAAGCATGTAGCACACAGCAAATGATAAACATTTAAATTTCCTTCCACCAACTATAGGAAGACAATTTCCCTACACTGAGATCAAACAGGCTTCTTCTTGTACTTAACTGTGTTTCTAGGTCAAAGGCCATAATTCACATGCCAAGCCTCTTACGCTCAAGGGTCTCCTCTCACATTAAAAAGTATTAGAAGAAATTACAGAGATAAACATAATTTATCTCTGTATAAATGTAATTTAGTAACTAGTGACAAAACAATTGCATTTACGAAAGCATTCTAGCCTTATGCACGCCAGACAACAATCGTGCACACCAGCAATGTAAACACTGCTACTGTGCTGCCCGGGCTGCAACTGCTACAGAAATGAAAATGTTTCCTGATTATGGAAGATTAAGTTCCAGACACTGCCAAATCTTAGTAAATGAAATTGTCTGGTACAGAAACCAAATGGAAATTTGTTAATCAGGAGAGAGAAGAAAAAAACCCAAAGGGAATTAACTCTGAAGATCAGCATACCTTTATCAGAGAGGCAACAGACATTCAAAAAAAATACATTTCCACAGTTCAATGAATTCAACAGTAACAAAACTAAGGAAGCCAGGCAGCTTCAGCAGTGCACTTACAGCCAGATTCTGCTGCCATGCGTTACTAACCTGATGCTATCAGTAATCCGCTTTAGCTCACTATAGTCCAACTAAGGTAGGTAGTTCGCCTTACCTGAGTCTAATGTTGCTTTTGGTTTCTCCATCTCCATAGATTCCAGGCTTTCCGGCAACTCCTGAATTTCATCGTCTCCAAAACCAGTGTCGGGGCTGCTTGTAGGCTTATCTTCATCATGGCTCAGAGACAGAGAAGCTTCCCTTTTGCTAATCTCTAAGACAGCTGCTAGCAGCTCATCTTCGCTCATCCCATCAAAACCAGCATTACCCAGCTCAGGTTTATCACCCTCCATTTTACTTCTTTTTGAACCCTAGAGATGAACAGAGTTATGATTAAGTGCTTGAATAAACAGGTATATAGCATCAATTTTAGTTTTATTTTATTAACCCCAGGGAGTGGGAGCTTGGCTCTGTCAACATTAAACAGAGTTATATGAGACTCAACGCAGAGACAACCTTTGCAACTACGCTCACTTCAAGGAATATTTAAATATAAACTATAACCAAGTTTTTACAGGCCCTGTGGATTAGCATACAAAAGATAACCCTTCCCTTCTTTTCCTTCAACACATGCGTTCTACCTTTAGGTTCTGATGAAACCTCAAGCCTCTGGCAAATCAGTGATGAGGCACAAGTAGTGAAATTGCAAGTTTGTTAACAAAGGCTGAAGCAGCAACATGAGAGTAATGGAACTTGAACACAGGGATGGAACAACAGGAACTGAAACAAGGCTGGTATGAAGAGCAATTAAAATCAGGTTTGGTGCTGTAGACTTGCCATATAAAATCTTGGGGGCAGGACTCTGCAAGTCAAATGAGAAAACAGTTAACCAGGGAAAGGAGTGTGTGGGGGGGAATTATTCTTTCCTTGGGAGAACAGAATGACTTTAAATTGCAAGAAGGAAAAACCACTTTTGTCTTAATCTGAATCTTTCCTTTTTTCAGTTATCTTCCTAAACTTGACGCTCATTAACTCCTACATCATACCGATTTGCAACTAATATAAAAATGATTGAAATTACTATATTAACTATTAATCAGGAGGTTAACTTCCATTTTCATAATGACACTACTTAGCATATGCTTAGATTTTTTCCCCTTCTATTATGTTAAAAATGGGCAAAAATAGTTTCTATGAGAATGTATTTGTCCAGGTCTTGTTCCAAACTGCACACAGATGGATCTCAAAACTTTGATAAAATGAACAAAAATACATTTTTATTGCTGCTTTTTACTTTAATACAGCAAAATTTTGCTGAACAAGACTAACTTCATATAACAAACATTTTGTATTAAAACTGGCTTATCAAGCAAGATCAGCAAAGGAACTGGCAAACTAAATTGCTTGTTCTAGACATCCTGACCTCCAAAAATTAGAAGTGACAAATTTAAACCTCTCTCCTAACATCTATTCAGGCACTGAATAAGGAAAGCAGAGTACCTGCTTTTTAAGCTTTCTGATTTCTCTCTCTACACCTGCAGGGTACTAATGTCAAAACTGGTTTAGCTTTTCAGCAAACACTAGTTCTGGGCACTTTGCCAACCACCACCACTATTTCAGTGGATGGACTTTAAAGACTTGGCAGCATCTGTGCATTATATAAATACAACTTTTTAATTAGAAATTATTTGCATAGATTTTAAGTAGCTCAGGCACCAAGACAGGCTGCTTTAAATAAGTATTTTTTAAAAGTACTTCAAATACTACTTCACCTGCAGAGGCAGAAATCACAGTTCTGCCCACTTCAGGTGGATGACTGCTATTTGCCGCTACAACCCAATATTGCATACACCCACTGTTCCAGCTCCTATCCCACATAGCAGCACTGTTTTGCAAGCACTGCCCTGCAGGGGATATACAGCCCTACAAAGTGACTGCCAAGCCTCTAATGCAACCCCATCCACAGCTGCTATGAGAAGCACACCAATGGAAATAGTGCAGCAGTAGTAATGCCACTTTCAAGGACCAGGACCAGGACCTGGTCTTCCCAGGACAACACTGAGAAGCACAGAGGATATGGTTAATGGTAACAGGTGGCTCATCAGGCTTGTGGTTGAGGAGTGGCCAATGTGCATGGCCACAATGAATGAAATCACTTGTGTGGAATTATCACCACCACTGCCTTTTTCCCACAGCAGGCTGGAAAGCCTATAATTAATTTGCTGTTCAAATTAATGTTTTATTCCCACAATTTCTGCACTCACAGTGATAGAGACTACCTACACTTCCTCACAAAAAAACTCGAGGAAGAATCACTTGGGATAGCTTGGACTTCAAAGACAAGCTAGTTTCCTTCCCCACCCACAGGCAGGTACAGATGTGCCATGCAGGAGAGCAGTTGCCTACACTGCTCCTGAGACCTTCAACAACACAGGTTTTCTGCTTTCTCCAAAAGCAGCCCATTCCATCTCTACACATTCTGAGTATCACGAAGTTTGCCTTCATATCTAATCTAAAAATTACTCTCTACAATTTAGGCTATTACTTCTTGTTCTATCCATCACAAGCATGGAAAACAGCCCAAGTATTTATACCTATTTCTTTCCCTTCCTTGAAAACACAAGTCTTGTTTAGGTTTCTCTTTAAACTGAAGACCCAAGTTCACCTGCCTGCTCTTTCTCCCAAAATCTTTCTCTCCTTTGGCCCTTCTCTGATTCATCTATAACTCTTTTCAGCCTGGAGCCCAAACCTGGATACAGAGCACCAGCTATAGCTCAATGCTGAGGAAACAAGGAGGGTTACTTCACACAACCTGCAGGCTACGCTTCTGTCTATACGCTTCCGTTTTCAACCAGCCTGACCTTGTGACCGACCATCACCTTTCATGCATTTTCTGAGGGCTCACTGCTTTCCCAGCTGTTGCCATCTGGCCAATTAGCCCTGCAAAGATTAGCACCTTTAGCCTGTTTCTCCTGAACCGCCCCTCTATTTTTATGCCATTTCTCAGATTTGTCAAGATCATTTTGAACAGTAGTTCTGAGCTTCAACATACTGGCAGCCCTTCCCAGCTCTGGGTCTTTTGAAAATGTAATACTCATTATCTATTTTATCATTTATTAAATACTGAGTAGACCAGGATCCTCCCCTGCTTTGATCTTCCCATCAGAAAGCTTTGATATTCTCCTCTTGTTACCTACTGCTATTCAGCCAGCTTTACACTTGTTCTTTAATGCTACAATCAAGATCACAAGTCTCTGCTTCATTAAAATAACCCCATTAACATTGTCAAAAACTTTAGAGAAGCAGAGATGCAGGACACTTGTCCTAAGCACTAGGCCTGCAACACTTAATAGAAGAAAGTGGTATTGCAAGATAATCCTCTAAGCTTCTTGCTTTCCCTTCTGGGTCATCATTCCTTTCCCACACAACTCATCTACCTGCTAATGTACTGCCCTGATAGAGGCAAAAAATATCTTGGCAACATTAATACTAGTCACAATGAAGAGCTTAAAGGCAATCTGAAGTTAAATGTGCCGTCACACCAATGAACTTGGTCTCTACACGCTTCTCCACGTCTGCCCCCAAAGGCTGATAGCTTCAGTTTCTAAAAGCATTTGAAAAGCCATACTTGAAACAGGACAGAGATTGGATGTCTGAGAAGTTCTCTCAATTGAGTATTTTGCTCAGCCCAACTTGATCTAATTTGATCAAGGGCTTTACTGCATTTACATCCCATTATATTTCAGCCTGGGACATTATTACTGAAAGTTACCCAAAGGACTGACAAAACTGCTAAGCAGCTGGTATACCAACTTGAAAACTGAAGTGCAGTTGCAATGCAATTACCTCCGTTCCCAGTGGGAACCTAAATCAACAGTACAGAGAGGTCAATTAGCAAAGCACTCCCTTCCAGCATCTCACAGTGCTAATTAGGTGAAAAAAAAAACAACCCTTATCTTGTATCAATTTTACTCATAGTCTGCGCTAAGAAAAGCACAGCCCAGACATGAGCACATGCAGGACCTGTGTATATGAAAGTGTGCTTTTTCCCCTTACCTTTTCAGGCTCTTCTTGTAGTTGTTGCTGATCCTTGCTCTGTACATTACATAACCTTTGGCTGTGGGCAACAGAGCGTTTCAATGGCTCATCATCGCTGTCAGAGTCTACAGAGTGTGCTGAGGAGCTCTTTGACTTGAAAGTGTATTTTCTGTAAGTTAAAAACATGGCTATAAAACTTCAAAGCACTGTAGCATTGTACAAATCTGTTTTGAAGTAACTGTTAAAGAAGTGTTACACCCAACTTTCACACCGTGGGGCAGTACAATTTTGGGAACAAACTGCACCAACTGACAATGACAATTTGTTAACACAGTGGGCAGGGTTTTCAGGAAAGGTCTCTTTTACTAGAGTAACTGAGATACCAGCTTCAAGCCTGCAACAGCAACTTGCAACGTTAAAAGTTACCAAGTGTGTGGCTTTTGCTTCTAAGGCCAAAGATTCTGCACTTTATAACCTCATAATCCCTCACAGTACTCATCTGAGTCAAGTCCACAGTAACACATAGAACTCTGCACAAACCATCTGACTTCTGAAGTTTACTAAGCTGGACACAGCTACTTCCCACATCATTGCTAGGATATAAAAAGTGCAAATCTGCACAAGTTTTTCAGTTTTCCTGAACAGAAGACAAGGTTGTTGGGGGAAGTCACCATTTCTGCTCAATTAGGAAATCTGGTCTTTAAGTATTTTGACTATGCAAAACTATGCAGTGTGATATCACATTTTGCACTGTATCAAAATTTGGCCTTTCAAAACAGCTTATAAAAGCAACATCCTCTCATCTGTGCACATAAACTTAAGGAACTAACCATCTGTTCCCAAAACACACACTGGAGCTCCATAGAGCCAGAACAGAGAAAGGAGCTGGCCTGCAGAATTAGAAACTACTTTGCTTCTTACGTATGTGACTTGCAACTAAAATGCAAGCTAATTTAAGAGATCTGGCACCTGTACCAACTAAATCCAGTTCTCATTCTGATGCTCAGCCTTCTGACAAAAGTTATCTTTGCTGACTTACAAGTCCCCAGAGGTGACCATTTCAACTAGGCAAACTGTACCATGGATATTAATTTCAGCTAGCACGTAACACCAATAAAAAAAAAAATGGGAAAAAAGACAGTATCTGAAACATTTTACTAAAATAGAAAAAAGTAGAAAGAAAACAAATAGGAAAAGGGTAAAGACTAAAGAAGAATTAGAAAATGTTAAAACGCCTTAAAAATTATCCCACGAAACACCAAGTCGCAGGCATTTCATACCTATAACTCACCTACAAGACGTGGAAGTGCTTACAGTACAGGAATTCACCATTTGGGAGGCTTTCAATGGACGGGAACTATTAAAAAAAACAAAGTATTTATTGCAGCAGTCACTGTCTTAAAAAAAATAAGTATTTACTTGTCTGCTATGCATGCAAATCCATGACCAAAGAAACAAGTAGAGCAGCATTATGTACTTGCTAATTGCTTAGATTTAGAGTAATAACTCCATCATGCTATAAATATACAATAGTTGTTCAAAACCATATATAATCCTTTAAACTTGATCCAGTTCTTAGTGATGCACCCTTAGGGACAAGCTCACAAATTAAAGGCTTTGGGCTCCCATGTCAAGACAACTCATTCCTTTATTTTTTATTCCCACCAACACTTGAGTTCCTGCTCCCAAACCACAGTCTGCTACTGCTATCTGGATCAGCCAGTTTTCAGGCATGTCCCACATCTCCGTTTCTCCTCCCTTACCTAGATTCTTCTGGACAAACTTCCTGCTCCTTTTAATCCTTTCATGGGCTCCTCAAGGTCCATCACTATCACTACACACCTATACACCAGTTGGCTGCCAATGCAGAAATCTTTTCTAATCTTCCCCCTCAAAACAGGGCTGCTGCTCTCCACCCTTTCACACTCCAGTCAATCAGAATGGTTTCAATGACTACAAAAAGCCAGTGGAAAGCAATTCCAAACAAGTTTTCAAGTTTTTCTGCTCTGGTTTGCTAAAGCTGCTTGTTGGGTTTAAGATTTCTATTGTTAAAGCAAACTTGTGAAACATCCATGTAAGTCTCAAACACCACTGAAAGTTCAGCACAAGAACACACGCCACACTGCTGACTGAACACATTGCTCCAGCCACTGTGGTTATGTCACTAGGCAAGGACAAGAGACCCAAGGGCTTCTTGTTCCTTATTCTGTCACATACTTTCTATGTGACAACTGGCACATTTAATCTCTCTGTCATACGACAAGCAGCCGCACAGAAATAACTGTCACAGGGAAAAGGAGAGAGTATTTTCAGCATGTGAAGTGCTCAGACACTACAGTGGCATAGGAAAGACAAAAGAATGATAGCACAGGAGGTGCAAGTGGAAATCAGCAGAGAAAGGTAGGATGTTATAGGTCCTAAGCAGTTTACTGTGTTGTGAAGGGAAAAATAATCTAATTATTTTGGACCAAGAGGCATACATTTTAGAAATTACTAACAGAAGCTCTCTTCAAAAGGAAAGTTATTTTCAAGGACAGTAAAGAACATTATCATACCAAATATTCCCTAGATAATACCCCACCAGCTCTTCCTACTGCTTCTGTTATGCTCCCTTTCCACGCATGATGCACCATTCCAAACTAGCAGCATACATCTGAAGCTGCATAATTTTACAAGTTTCCTTGCCCAGCCATTTTCTGGAGATCTGACAACTGCCTGCGTTGGGGCAGGTGCGGTTAACAGGCCATAGATCAACCACTTACATTGCAGAATGAACACTCCATCCCAGTGTCAGCGGCAGCCTAGTGTTTTCCGTACAGTGTGAAAGCAGGGTCAAGTATCTTGGAATAACCACCTGCTGCCCGACTTTATGATTGAGGGACAATGCTACATTGAAGCTGTATCGTTTCAGATGAAGAATCAGGACTCTGGAAGAGATACAGAACAAATGTTAATCTCAAGATAGAAGACAGAAATCCCATTCAAAAACCAAGTAGCCCTGTTTACAAAACACATTCATCTGAGTCTAAAACAGATCGTTACTTTGGGGTGGTAGGGAAGCACTACCCATCTCTTGTGTGGCAAGAGACAGGTGATTACTATCCTGTGGATCACTCAACTTTGTGCAACGTGCAGAGTGCAGACTGCCGACTGAAAAGGCTTTCTGCTTTGGTCTGCATCACCTTGCTCTTCAGGCAAGCACAAACAAGGAGCTTTTGACAAACTCCTTATTTCTGCTATGCAGTGAGAGGTAAGAAACAATAAAAATATTACAATTATAGGACAGAATGCTGGTATATTACTCCCAGATATTTAAGACTGAGATGGAGAGATCACATAGCTACCCAAAATTGATGAGGAACTACGCCTCATCAATAGTGTAAGATGTGTACTCAGTTTACCCATCATGACACTTTCACTTTAAGAGATTTTTATCACAACAGCATAAAGAGCCTCAAAAGGCCTCCTTACACTGAACTCTTTCCCTTATGCCACACATGGCATAACACATGTAATGTACTGTCTATATAGTTCATTTAGCTGTACCATCACTTCTGTTGTGCTAATATTCAAAAAAATTTGACAAGGGTTTTGCAGTGCTTTCATAAATACACTATTTAAGCAAAACTCATGCTAACTACTGAGTTACTGGGTTCAGTATGCATACATGTGGGACACAGGCCAGATAAAGTTATCCAAAAGACTTTCAATGCTTTACATCCCACGAGAACATGATCCCTACCTCCATGTGCTTCCACCCTAAATAATGAGCTAAACCCAACCATAAAGTCAGAGACCACTGAGCATGCCATTAGCCCTCTAAGTGTTTGCTTCTTCCTTAAAGTGCTATCCTTGCTGAGAGAAAACAGGTATCAGCATGGTAAGAATTAACTGATCAAAGCAAAACTTTCTATATACCTTCTGGCACTAAATGCCTCCAACTCAGTCCTGCCCACCAGATCAGCTGAGCACAAAATATTTAACTTCCAGGATGTATTTATTGTTCCTGCTTCCCTCACACCCCAGAAACCTCAAGAAAAGAGAAAGGGGAAAACTCAGTCCTTGTGTAGTGATAGGCAGGAAGAAAGAAGCGTTAAAGAGGGTGCCTGGGAGCTTCTTCAGAGGTAAACTGAAGAACAGCATGAAGACTACTGTCTGCATGTGCATCTTTCTCACATGCTGACCACTGTACATGCTGTCCTACACGTTTTCCCAGCTTTATTCTTCAGAGCACTTTTGTTAACATGTGCTTCCAGGAACGAGAGGAACAGATACCAACATTTACCTGGGAAGCCTGTTGAACTTGTGTGTGACAACAGCAGACTTTCCATTGCACTTCTCACAGGAATACTCAATCTCCTCTGCCTTTTTAAGAGAATAGAAAAATGACTAGCAGAACAAAAGGCACATCAAACGGATCTCGGCAGAAAGCACATCACTTTTGGCTATCATGGAAACTCTTCAAAACAGCAGTCACACTCAAAATTAAAATTGCCTTCAATGTGACCTAACAAGAGGTCATCTGATAAGAGGACAGGGGGCAGAGCGTAGATGCTGACAACATCCACTAACATAAGTGGAATTTTTCCTTTAAGTCTATTGCAAGCTAGTGAATCAGCCACAGTTGAGACAAATTAGCTTCCAAAGAGAGGGGACAGTTCTGTAAGGTTTACAGTTTTCTCTCCCATATACAGGGGTATTTTTTTTTGTCACAATAACCTTTGGTGATAGGTAATTTGACATGAAGTTTTCTCTCCCTTGTTCAAAACCTCAACTTTGTTCCTGAAAAGATATTCTCATCTAAACTTGTCACGGATGTGCTGCACACTTTTGAACAGGCAGCATAATGGGAAGCATCACTGTGTTGAAATTACATGACTTAGCCATCAGACATTTCTACAGCCATTTTCTTTAAGTGGGGCCAAATGACCACTATAATTAACTTTTTTTTTTAAAAAATCATAAGACCTCCACAAGCTTTTAGGTGAATAAGCACATCTATTATTCTGCTAAAAACACTATCTGTAAATGGAGGAAAACCACAGGTCTGCCTCAAGTTATGCCAAAACACATCACTAATTCACAGATGTAAGGCTCATTTTTAGCTTTCAGAAACCTCACCTTGAAGCTCTACTTACAAGATGAGCATCCATGTACTACAGCTATTTTTTTAATAATTGTATCTGCATGACCTTTTTCTTCCACGCTAATTTAAGCCAGTACATAAGCTGTTGAAGCACCCTCACCCAGGAGAGGAAGCAGCAATTCCTCTCAGCAAGTATCTCAGCCTGACAGCCTCCCTTCTCTCCTTTGTATTCATTTATGCCTCAACTCTTCCATCACAAAATGGGGAAGTTTACCTATTTCATAGCATATTGTAAGGATCAGTTAATGTCTGTACAGCATTTTACAATACAACCTACTGTGTATTGTCAATGTACAAACCTCAAAAAAGTGCAAAGCTGATTATTTTACATGCCTGAAATTACTGTCACAGAAACTAATAATCAGCTATACAATAAAAATTTCCATGTGGTACATAACCTACACATACTTCACACTGAATAAAACAACCCCTCCAAAACTATGTACCCGAAAAAAGAGGTCAAGGGAGTCCTGGATTGACCGGGAAGGAAGCAATTTCTTTCTTCGAGGAAGGTCAATGGAGAGGTCATTAAACTGTTCACGTTTAGTGACTGTTTCACCGCACCTAGAAAAGAAACATGTTTATTGTAAGCCTAATGGAAAATATATTTGAAATTAATGGCAACTTACATTTTTAGGCTAAATTAACTTGATCAATCTATTTTTACTTAAAATTAAACTGCTTGCTTATGACAAAGTTGAATTTTGTGATTTCACTTTGATGCTTTAGAAGTTGAAAGAAACATTTGTTTAAGGGTGAGAACAAAAAAAACCACAGACTGCTTTGGAGAGGCAAGTGATTAGGTATACAGGAAATCAAAGTGGCTGCTACGCAGCTGAACACATCTTCATTCAGCATTCTTAAGAGAAGTGAGCCTAGCCCAGAAGGGGAAGCCTAGAAATACTTTCAAACTGTTTTTAGAAAGAAAATAGTAGAGTCCATCCTTAAAAACAAAAAACCACAAACCAAACAATAAAACAACAGCAAACTCCACCCCCCCCAACCCCCCTCCCCCCCCCCAAAAAACAACCAAACAAAAAACCCACAGAAAACCCCTCAAGTTTCTCATGGTATGTTTTGGAAGAAAAAAAAAACCAACCAACCAAAAAACAACCCTATAATAATATGTCTTAACTAATTACAATTATTAGCTGCAAACAATTTACTTATAATTAATTTAGGGAAGTAATGCAGTACACACAAAGTAATATCCCCAGACATCTGTGTTCATGAAAACTCTGTGGCATGCAAGCATCCCGAATGGCAATCTGCTGCAAAGGTCATACACAACAAATGCCCAGACACAGAATCACAGAATCAGCTAGGTCAGAAAAGAGTTGATTCTACTGGCTCACATAGTGGTCTACATCTTTTTCTGCAATAACCTACAGAGATAGAAGAAAATACCACTGCCTGGAAGCCCTTGGAAAGAACAAATTAAAACCATGGCTTCCCGTCATTTAAGAGATAACATTACTTGGCTAAAACCCCCTTTCCTCTCTATTCTCATATAACCAGTACACAAAAAACAAAGCACAGAGGCTTTCCACTGGATATGTAATGAAGAACCAGATAGTATGAGACTGTTCAAAGAAGGTCTGTAGCATCAGACAGCATGGTGTGAGGTTTACAGCATTCTTAGACCATAGAATATTTTCTAAATATCTATCTTTGGAAATGAAATAGTTCTTAGTTCTAGTTCTAACCTGCCGATGAAGTCACGTAAGACAGGGACACTTAAGCATCATTTAAGGCAAGTATGACAAAAGCTCTCAAGCATACTTACATTTTGCAAATGATAGAATGTTGAACCTCAAACTCTAAGTTACTGATAACTGGACATGTATAAACTTTGGTGGCTGAGAGGTCATCAGAAGCCCGTCCTGGTGAGTTCTCCTCATTAGGGACTGGCTCGCTCTTCCAAGTTTTGTTTAACTTTTCCATGTCTTCCTTCAGCTGATCCAGGCACTGGCTCAAGAACTCATGTGCATCCTAGAAACAGGGTAAACTCATCGAGTAATTCTGCACAACTCCATTCAGTATCTTTCTCTCAACACACACACAGACTGGGGAAATTATATTCAAGCTCATCACATTCAGCGATACTAAGGCAGTTCTGCTCTAAAACACAGGAGGCAGTTGTTGTCATTCAGTCCAAAGCTCAAGTCACTGTCAAATAGAGCTGAAGCCTGACAGGCATTCAATGCAGTCCAAACACTGAACAGATTACACGTAACTGTTTCTAGTCAACATGGTACTTACGTTTTGCATGTACCCAGAAAATCTCTCTGCAGTAGCTGAAATGGCACTTTTCACCTTCTTGAGCAGCTCCTTCTTAACCTCAGGGCTGCAGACATCCTTCTTAGCAAGCAGATGGGCAAAACGTCTGCAGAAGTCAATGCAATGAAACATTGATTGGCTTTCCAGGACTTCAGAGAAACAAAATAAAACTCACAATACCTCATTTTAAGCATCTCTAAAAGCTTTTGTCCTGTGGTAAGTGGCTCTGTATGAGAATTTATCATATACAATTAACCTTTTCCATTTCAAGTATTTTGAAATCTCATTTGAGACTGTCACTGGAATTGGACTCTAACAAAAAAAAAAAAATTACAACCTTTTAAGGCAGAGAAGAGCTTTATAAAGTTCTATAAACTTATTTCTGCTATAGTTTTTACAACAAGGGGGAAACAAAACCCCAAAACACAGTGCCTTTTGAAAACATTTGTACTGATAGGAGACAAGAAATCACATGGCACCAAAATAACCAACACAAAATCGTTAAATTCAACTTGCGTGATCAGACTAGTTTCTATTTTTTTCACTTTGCCACCAGAAATATAGAAGATATAAAAGACTGCCTGTAACTCAGCACTGCAATTTTCAAGAGCCTACTTCTTATTTCTAAATTAAAACTCCAAAACACAGACAGCTCTAGGATTTATTATCTACACATGAAAATTACCCTCTACAAAGGTGCTTCAGTATTACAAAATTAATTTCTTAGTAATGAAAGAAAAAATCCTTCCCAGAAAAGTGAATTTTACCTGATAAGAGCATTCAGCGGAATTTTTTTCCATGGGATACCCTGCTTGAGCAAATCATTAGCAAAAGACTGAATTGAAAACAAGGACTGTAGAATGGCATTCATATAGCAGGTGTTTCCCAAGTTTGAGAAGCTGAAAAAGAAAAAAGACTGAACATGGTACCTACGTCAATGTACAAACATGCCAATGTTAAACACAACACTGTCAGTAAGTATGACATCCACCCCAGCGTTTCTCATTGGAGCCGTCCTCCTGCCCTTCAGACTAAACTGAAAACTCATGGGAGGTGGCATTTAGCAGGAAGGAACCCATGAGTTTCAGCAATCAAAATTTAAAAAACAGTGTATCTATATATACAAGACAGAGAAATTAATCATGGAAGTGTAGGAGAGGAGCATGAATTAACTGAAATTATTGTATCTCTTAAATTCTCAGGAAGTGAATTTAAGAACACCTATTCTCCAAGCTAGGAAAAGTATTCCCTGTCTCAGTGACCATTAATTTCTTTTTTTTTTTTCCTATTAAATAATTCCAACAAGAATGCAGAAGTTCTGATGATCAAAGTGTGCAGGTTAAATAAAGAAAATTAGAGTTACCCTTGTAATTGCTGTTGAGGATGGGTGGAAAGGGGCACTCGGGGTTTGTTCCACCCTGTGTAATCTTGATTAGATCTCATTTTTTTAACAGAAAGAGGGGCAGGCTGAGAGAGAAATCCTAGGCTTCTTTTGGCTGAAGGGGTCTGGCCGGATACACTAGACCTAAAAACATAAAAAGGATAACAAGTGTAAGCTTCCTTAAATAGCTATAGTCCATGACACTGGAATTATATCACTATAGAAAACAAGGATTGGTAAGGCCACACAAGGTAACTGGCATGAATCATAATGCAAAAGAGGTGTGAGAAAGAGGAAACTTTTCTGAGCACCTTAATACTTTTTTTGGTTAAATTTTCTTACATCCACAGGTGTGCATGCAGCATAACCAAGTCTTTTATCACAGAACCGCAGAATGGTTTGGGTTGGAAAAGACTTAAAGATCATCTAGTTCCAAACTCCCTGCCATGGGCAGGGACACCTTCCACTAGACCAGGTGGCTCAAAGCCTCATCCAAACCGGCCTTCAAGATAACCTTTGTCTTTAAGATAACAGTTAAGATTTCTCCACACTGTATGATGAGACAAAGAATGATCATGCAGCATGAGATCACCTCTCCTAAGATATAATTAAAATTCACATCTGGGCCAGAGTCTTATTTTTCAGCCTCTTGCAACCTAGTCGCTCAGTCCCTTGTGTGTAAAGCATGGACAACGCTGCTTTTCTTCCTTGATCTTGTATCTCATCTATCTAGGTAAGAGACCAACAGTTTGATTGCAGTGCCTAATACAGAAGAATTCCAACCTCAGCAGGATTCAGTATCATATACAATACTGAATATTATATAGTTTCATGCCATTTAGCTACTTGGAAAAATGAAGCAAAGATTCAGTCTGAAGTTCCAGAGTTTATATAGAATTTGAACTAACTAGAGCTTAGACACATCAGGACCAGTCATTCACAATAACTACAACAGACTTGGGTGATTTTAGGAAGTCTATCTATTGCAAGCAGTAACTGGAGTTTGAAGATGAGTGAAAAATAAAAGTGTGTGTATACACATACACACACATTTTATGCATATAAGCTATATACCATGTGATAAACAGTCAGGAAACTAAAAATCCTAATTCCTAGGAAAGAACTGTCCTTGAGAGTTCATGCTAGTGAATCAGTCCTACCTGTCCAGGGTGGAACTGCCACTGGAGTACTCTTTTGATGAAGACCGACTACTATAAAAGGATGATGACTGCAGTGGTAAAAGACCTTGAAAGACAGAGAGGCAGGTCATTTTGTTAACGGCAACTCAGCTATTTATGTAACTAATTTAAAATTATTTAGTGAAAAGGTTGTAAAATCCTCAAATACTGTTTTACAGAATTGGTTGGGAAAGTACTAAACACACATACTTAGTCAATATTAATCATATGTAATTAAAGACATGCTGGAGTTTTACTTGAATTTAGTATCATAATCATCAAATCCAAATTGCAATATGAAACATTAAAGAGTCACTGAATGGTCTAAAGTATCTGAAAGATAACACCAACCTCTTGTTCTGATACACAAGATACATGTAACAGAAAACTCACTCATGATTTCCAATACCACGCTCTCAAAATTAAAGGTAAATATGCAGAAGTGGAAACAGTTTCTCTTCCCACTCCAAATTCCACAGTAAATTAGTCCATGCTTGAGGCAATGTATGATTGTTTCATTGTCCTGATATCACTGTGTCAGATCCCGAGACCCTAATGTCCCAGACAGTGCCACATTAAAAGTTCTCAAGAGTCAAAACCCCACTTATTATAGTGAATCACAGTGTGATTTAGTTTAAGAATAAGAATCTGCTTCTATCTCAGCTTGAAGTGGTTTGAAGCATGCAACTTTCAAAAATGCAGACACATGAAGCAAGTTCACAACCCTGCTGCCTGACATTGCAGGTATATGCTTATAAATTCTACTTTTGACCACAAGGAGCAACTCAAATTTTCAGATATAAACATTCACGTTACTGGCTCCTTCAGCAACATATTTGTGCCATCATAGCTGCACTAGAAGAAGAATGCATTTGGCAACATTTTCATAAGAACAGTATCTTGAATGAATTCCCCTTTATGGGGAAAGAGGCTCAGTATCTACTAGCAGAAATGAAGAACGGTGCCACTTACTAGCTTATATACATACTATCAATATTTCTGTATTGTCTATAAAACCTTGTCACACACCAGTATCCAAAAGAACTTTGGTACAAACAGCATGAAAGCCCTAGCCCTAAATACTTTCCCCTCTAAGTTCTCTAAGGGGAAGAGACAGGGAAGTAACAGCAATCGGTACACATTTTGAGCACAAAAACCCCCAGCCTACAATTCATGCGGGCATTACCAGCAAAGGAGAGCTTTAAAAATAAACACAAAAGCAACCAAAAAGGAAATCCTGAGGTGTTTACAGGAATCCCCTCCCAAGGGGAAGGGCAGCTTGGAGCAAAGTTTGAAGCTGCTTGTTGAATTTTTAAACAAGCTGGCACACGGGCTGGCATCAGCACCCAAGTATAAAAGTCAGGGTCACATCAGAGCAAGATAGGCTTCAAAAACGAAGGCAAGTTGTTTGCATCTCATATATAGCTCTATAGAAAGCAAGAAAGTTAATGGCACAGGGAAAGCAGACTAGGATAACCACCCCAGGAGCAACTTTCTAAACTGATACCAAAGTGTTAAAATCAAACTGGTCAAAGCCAGGTATCATTTGGCTTTACTTTTTATTTTTTTACCTGATGTCCTATTTTCCTCTGCCTGCTTCAGATTTAACTGTTTCTCTCTGCTACTGTTCAAGTACTTCCATGCTGGATCACTCAAGGCTTTATTATTCCTATGGAAAAACAAGAGTGAAAGTCAGTGCAGTTATAAAAGATACAGGATATTCCTGCTTGATATTTACAATTTGTTTAAAGCATTTCTCTCCTATCACCTTTAATACTTGACTATGGAAGGGTTGAACTTTACTTGCAGATCAGTTTAACCAATTTGTTTAAACAAGCCTTCTCAGTTATGCTTAAATGTGATTTCAGCCAGAGGGAGCTTATTCTCCAAATGGCAATTTCTTCTTTATGAATTTTGTTTTGAAAAGGGTTCAAATTTTTTTTTTAACTTCTTTTGAAAAAGAAGTTCAATAAAGATGGTAACTATTGCCATACATGTATAGCACATATGATAATCCTGACTAGACTTAGAGAAGAAAGATAACAGAATTTGCACGTGCCAGTTCCCGCAAGTCAACTGCAGGAGCAGGTTCTATTTCCCTCATTAATCCTGAGCGTAAACCCCATTTCAAGCACCCAGTGTCTTCACAAGTTCACTAGTGGTTGGCTCGTGCCACGTTGCTGAGACTGGAAATACCCAAGCATTCCCTTCAGAAAAAATTACCTTTGCAAAATGAATGAAGACTTTAAAATCAGGAACTAGAAACTACGGTTACTTACGTTGAAGAATCATTCTCTTTGGGATAATCTTCACTCATTTCTGAACCAGGAGGTTGTGTTCTTTTCCTCTTTTCACTGATAACAGAAAATTTTTGAAGTGGTCATTCTTTCAGAAAGGCTAGTAAGTGACCCTCTTCCAACTGAACAGAAGTCAATGCTTTCCATGCATTTTGCACCTATCTTCCACAAACTCCACTTTTATAACATAGCATACAGAAAACAATTTGGTCTGTCCAACTCTTAAGCTGCTCATAAAGCTCTAGTGCCAGTACCAGCCAGATGCTAGAAAAGCACATATTAACATCCTGCTACAAGTAACAGCAAAATCAGAGGAAGAAACATATTCCTTCTTACTTCTAGGTGTACCAAGTTCCACCTGCAGCTCTACAAAGAGCTAAAGTATCATATATCATAGTAAGAGGATAACACTCCTACCGATTCTCCAACAAGCCCGTTCTGTGGGGGACTGCGGACGCAGGAGATGCTGAGATGTTCACCCTGTTGCTAGGTGTTCCGGTTCCAGAGGGATTCTTAACGGATGCTCTCGGTGGGGTACCCAGCACCTTGCGCAACGCGTTTTCCTCCTTACTTTCCACAGCCACTCTTTTGGGAGGAGTCTACAAAACCCAAGTGGAGGGGGCAGGGATAGAACCGAAACAGTGAAAAACATAGAAACACAGAATCAGTTCGGTTGGAAACGACCTTTAAGATCATCAAGTCCCACCTCTACTGCAGTCCACCACTAAACCATGTCACTAAGGTCCTCATCTAGCCTGTTTTTGAACACTCCCAGGGATGGCAATTCCACCACTTCCCTTGGAAGCCTGTTGGAGCTAACATTTACATCACTGCTTTACTTGCTACAGTGTAGCATCCAAACCCAGAAAAATGTTACTTGTAATAGATCAGGAGAGTTTAACACCGATTAGACATAGGTAAAACTTTGATTATACGGACAGAAGGCATAAACATGAAACTCTACTGCAGTCACTAATTTCCCTTATCATTTTCCGACACTAAGTTAAACTTCAGTTTTTAAATATCTCCTTCATGTGCTTTGACATTAAAAATCTCAAGGCATGATTTCTATCCCCAGATCAAACCTAGGGAGTGGATATTAAAAAAAAGCCATATTAAAACCCACACCATTACAACAATACCCTAACAGCCTTGGGCAAGCAAGTGCCACATGTAACACAATGGAAAGCGCCAAGCTGACTTAGGAATGTTGATCAATTTTAGACTTGAAATCTAAACACGTCTAATCTTACCAATGTAGACAGAGCCCTGGAGTTTTTCCTGCGAGATTGCCTTTAAGCAACATGCAAAATTTGTTTTGGGACAACATAAAAAATATCCTCCCTCAGGGTGGTAATACAGGTATATTCACAAAGTAAATTAAAGCTGGTAGGTACATCATGAAATCTGCATTATGCAGGGAGAAAAGGAAGAATAACATTTTGAAGGAAAAACACTTAAGGGGGAAAATCTGCAAAATTTACACAAAAACACTGAGTAGAACTCTACAAATTCAGTGACTTTATTCTGATGCAAAAGCAGGTCAGCGGCTTTTATATATATATATGCACATGTATATATATATTTGACTGAAGTCTGCTAAACTCAGCAAGACCTATGCTGACTGTAACATGTTCAGCTGCTATGTATTCAGTATGAACAGAGATATTCACAACTATGTGAGAAGTCTTAATCCCCTATTTTCCCCTCTACTTTTGCTGCTTCACTGCCTGAGTTATAGCTCAGCATGAAAAACACATTCTGTCTTCCACAGCCAGACACTGACCTTTTTTGTTTATACTGAATATATGACTCCTCATGAGCAAGACGGAGTGTTGCCAAGCACCTTGTATACATCTATTCCAAGCCCTCTAGATTACAAAGACTCTGGATGCAAAATAAGTATTTACAGTGCTATTACAGCATACATTAAGAGAATGAGAGAAGGAAATTAATGAAACAAAATTAGAGGAGAGGAAAAATTTGAACAATTAAACAAACCTGGTTCTCTATGTAAGAGAATTGCCTATTAACTTCCTTCTGTGTGGTCCTGCTGCCCAGCACACCTCCAAAGCTTCCAGATCCCTGAGAGGGTTTTCCAACTGACAGGAAAAGTACACAACATTTTATTTGTCTGTCATTTAACCAATTGACATTCTTATTTGTAACATGCTATTTAGCTGGAGCCGACTTTAGAAGGGACACGCTAGATTTCCTGCCAACAGACAGTACAATATTCTGAGGGCACAGATATAAGCACATGTTTATGGGTATCCCTTGTATTGCTCATTTACTCAGTTGGCAGTAAAGATCCTATCCTTAAAAAGGACAAAATAAGAGGTAAAATAAAAAGGAAAGAGACTCTGCATGTGTGATAAACAGACAAGAGTGTTTGAAATACCGACTACAACGTAAGCAATACCTACATGTTAATCTCTGCTTATTGTTCAGCAAGATAAGAGGTATATGATAAGAAAGGTATGTAACAAAAATTGGGGTTCAGGGCCAGAAAGAAGCACTTACACAAAGAAAATCAGTAACACAAGGACAAAATGGCTAAAGATATATGAAAAGGAAACACAACACTGACCCCTTTCCAAACTGTGACTAACCTGATTTACAACAATTGCACTTACCAGTATGTAACCTGTCTTGATGGACTGCATCCAAATACATCCGCATTTCATTTGCATCTTTAAATGGTACCTTATCAATTGTCAAGAAGCTGGTATCCTTTAGTGTTAGCATTAGGCAGCACAGCTTTCTACCATTTGGGCGTAGTGTCACAGTTTTAATGTTATGGCTTAGCTGAAAATAAGAAGGTGACTATAAACATAAATCCGTTTTTAAAAGGCCCAAATACTTAAAAATTCAAACAAACCACTTCAAACAGAGAAGCATTTGCATAGAAATACTTCTCATTGCTCCATTTCAAGCAAACATAAAGCCTCACAGAATTGATGCAACTGGTGGTCTTGGAAGCTGATAGCATCCCTACAGATCAACAGTCCCTATAATAATAAACTTTCTGAAACTCGGTTTGCTATTGAGTGTGACATTTTTGAACTTAAAGAATAAGAGTTTCACACAGTCCCATCTACCTGTCTGAAACTTCCATGTAAAATTTGAAATATAATTTAGGATGTTTTAAATGCTAGCTACAAACTTCTACTCAGTTTACAATTAGCAGATTTGACATAGCATAAAAAAATTTGCTGAGGGAGTAAGTTAATAAAAAGCGTGCTTAGTCTACATGCAACGTTATAACAATTAAGTGGTGTCAAAACTTTCAGGGTTATGGTCAAGCACAAAATAATTTTAATAAGAATCTGTGCTCCCTAATAATGCCACTGCTACTTTATTATACCATTACTTAATTGTTACTACATGCTAGGTCACCTATAAGAACTGTCTGCAAAGGCTCCACTATCTGAGGAGGTTGAGGGTAACTCCTAAAGCAGAGGAAGCAAAAGAATCCCTCACATCTGCAGACTGCATGGAAGTTTGACAATACACACCTAAACACACTCTCATTTTCAATTACCTCCTCCCTTTTTGCTTAATTCTTCATTTTAGCCTAGCCTAAGATCAGGAGCGACCTATACAATGACATCCACACCAGGATATTGCTGTACTCAATGTTTCATATAAGATCAGAAACCATGGCCAAGGTCATTAGGCACGACACAAGAGAGAGTAAAACACCGCCCATCAGATTGGAGCCGCCTCCTAATTTGGCCTGACCTGCATACTGCCACATCACTGAGCTAAACTACAATGAGGAATTAATAGACATTAACAGTAATTACACCCTAACACTAAAGTTTCACTATACATTGCTCTAGAACCTGCCTTGTTGCCTTGAAACTATACACAAGTTTAAAAATAAAAATTATTCCCAACTTTTACTTAAATTTGTCCAGGTATATAGAAGACTGAGATAGAAAATGGCACTCCATGTCCCCCAGTGAGATTTCTTCAGTGCAGATTTCTAACTTCTTCGAAAGTCAATCTAGACACAACAGCACTTTATCAGAGGCTGGAAAAGCAGCTCAGTTGGAAACCCAGGGCTGTTTTACTGGGAAAATTAAACTTATGAAACACTTAATGCTCAATCCTTGTTTTGCTGTTGGGGTTTTGTTTGCTTGATTTTGGGAGGTTTGGGTATTTTGGGTTTTGTTTTCCTTTTTTTTTGTAAATTATAAGCTAAAAAATGTTTTCAAAGACAGAAGAATTGAAAAGGAGACTCCAAATTTTTCTCCCTCTCTTAAAACATTAAGCTTGGTGCAAAGGGATAAAGTTACTTTACCATCTCAGGGCAAAACAACCTTTTTCAACTCAAAACGCTGTAATGACAGGGTTCCATTCATACTCTCCACCCACCTGTTATGACCCTGTCAGCGTCACAAAGTCTTGGAAGGAGGGAGTAAATATTTCTCTTAATACATATCTAGCATCTAGGACAACTTAGTCAGAGCTTTAAAACATCAGTAAAACATATCATTTGACATAAGAAATCTGATGACACACCAGTCACTGTAGAAAGAAATTTAACCTTGGATCCATCCAAATGTATCACAGAGAAGTGAAAACAGGTGGAGAAATCACCTACAGTTTTCCCAGAGCAACTTGTCAAAGAAAGGGAATGCTGCTTTTAAAGCAAAACTATCAGGGACTTGTGATGCCTGAGGCAGCACAAGCAAGAGCACTGTGAGACTGGGGCTGGCTCACCCAAACCGCACTCAAGCACAAGCCTGAAGCACAAAGGGCAGGCAGCTCTCCCTGCCGGCTGCTCATCTCACCAACACTCTTGTGCCACTGTCTGTGTTGCTTTAAGATGAACAGGTCCAGAAAACAGATCCTGCTGAAAAATAACCACCATCCAAACAAAAATATTTGGTCTAAAGATGCGGCATTTCCTCCTCCTCTGCTGCAGTCCTAGCTGCATAGCGCCATATCACCCCCCACACCAGATCTCATACTTGGTTCTTTCCCTGAATTAATTCACATGAGAACCCTCCACTGAGCTCACAGAGAGACCTGATGAGTGGCATAGCCAGCAGATGCAAGAGACTGGAAGCGAAGCCTGCCCCTTTAGGCCGTGGTTAGCTGTTCTGTAGGCTCATCCCCTCCATGGAATCACCCTTCAAGTCACTGTCACACCACATTTATGTTCATTCAGAAAGAAGTGCATGAGAATAAGCACCCCATAAAGGTAAGAGACCTCTCAGACTGTTCTCAGAAGCAACATGGTCCAACACTGGATTAAATCAAACATGAAGTCACAGCATCTCGTCTCAGAAGGCAGATGACTGAAGTCAACAGTAAGAGGAAGGAACTAGACACAGCTAATGATTTTCTCACCCCTTGATCTGAAGGCAACTCATGTTCTTTGCTACAACATTTCAGCACACAAAGGTAGCAAAACCTGATCTTTCAAAAATAAAGTGAACTTTTCTTTTACCAAGTCCACACACAGAAACAAAAAGCTCAGGGAACGGTCTGCGGAACACCACTCAGGAAGAACTGCAGCAGGAAAAAGCAAAAACCAACACTTGGATTAGTTTAGGCTGTTACAAAGTTGCTAAATAAAATTGGATTTTTTTCTTTCTAACTGCTTTTATATCCTCTAAATATTTTTATATCAGATAGAAATTTCTTACAGAAAAACACTCCTTTACATTCTTTTGATTTGGGGCACTTCAGATAAAGGAAGACTGAGCTGAAACCAAGGACAGAATGAAAGAAAAAATAAGACAATTTAGGTTGAATATTGCATAAAAATCTTTAACAGTGATCCTCATCAGTCCCCCAGTGAGGGAACCCCACTGCCTGGAATATTTAAAAACTAAAACTGTAACAACTGGTGTGGAGCCGTCTTGTTTAAACAATTGGAAGGCTACAAGTGTGCTAGCACCCTTACTCTTCAGGTGGGAAAATTGCTAATACAAAGTGTCCACGATCTGCACCTCTACATTCTTCACATGAATTGGTAACAGAAAGGTTACATGAGCCACAAGGCTACATATGTACTTTGGTAACTTTCCTCTGCTTTTTGGTTCTTCCCACTCACCGGCATCTGGATGCCGACCTTGGCAGATCCTTTAACAATACACGTGAATAATTTACAGGAGAGTTATACAAAGGGATTAGTGTTCAGGAAATGAGGAACAAGAAACAGTGACAGAAGGAAGCTTTCGTGACACTTAATAGCCTTGAAGAGGACAGCTGTTCACAAAGGAGCACAATCCATGCACTGCTCAAACAAAAGCCTTAATATCTGGTGTACCTGAAACGTCTTTGGACTCCCTCCAACACTGTAGTGAACCACCAGACTCACTTTGTTGTCCTTCTCCACAATTTCAAAGCTCCCTTCTTTCCATTTTGTAATCCCAGTCTGCATGCTGCGCATCCGGACAGGTCCGTGCACCTTTAGCAGAGCCATGCTTTCTCACGGAAAAGAGCTAACAGGAGTGAGCTACTCCACCTTAAAGACCTATTCAGAAGGAGAAGTTTATAACTAAGCAGGCCAGATAACCTCTGCAGGAAGATATAAGTGTGGCTTAAGTTTCTGTTGAAGTTCGGGAGAACTGTTTTGCTGGTGTTTGTAAACACAGTGAAGGGGAGTTAGACAGAAGCAAAGGAAACTTGGATTAATCAATTCCCTCCCCACCTGGGCAGCAACGCGCCGATTTACCACTGCTAGAAAGCAAACAGACCCAATCCAGACACAGAAACTCTTACGAACCCTTGAAGCAACTTCATCAGAACTTAAGGAAAGGAAAAAAGTGACCGAGAGAGTCTGTAAGAGACGGAAAGTTTCGGGGAAGCCCGAGAGAGAAAGCGCGCTCGCTTCTGTCGTGACATGAGGGTGGGCCCGGTCGAGGCTCCCTGGGGCTCTCCTGTGCTGCCGCCCTCCCCGGCGCTCCACCGCGCGTTCCGAGGAGCAGCCCCCGCTCCCGATCAGCACGGCAGGGCGTGTTTTAAAGTCAAATAGGAATAACTGAATGAAGCGGCCCCCGCGCGCCACCGCCGAGGGTCTGTCCCCCACCACTCCCCGGCAGCCAGAGCTCAGGCGCCGCTGCCGCTACCAGCCCGGCCCCGCTGCCCTCGGTCATAACCCCGCCGCACGGGCACGGGGTGGTGGCGAAGGCAGCGCCTCCCGTCCGTCCCATCGCTCCATGGCCGCGCGGGCCGCGCCGCGAAGGGGGGGGGGGGGAGGGCACGCTGCCGCCGCGGGGGGTGAAGGGGGAGCGGGAAGGGGGGGGCCGAGCCCCGGTACCTGCGTCCCGGCGCCGCTGGGTCTGGGCCGTGGGGGGGAAGGGGAAGGGGGGGGAACGGCGGCGGATGGCGGGAACTGGCCAGCAGCGCCAAAACGCCGCGCGACGCACACTCGCGCGCGCCTGCTCACGTCACCGCGGCGGTGACGCCCTTCCCGGCGCACCCCGCGACAGCCGGCCCGGCAGCCAGCTGCGCATGCGCCGGAGAGGCCCGCTTGGGTTTCTCCCGCCGGCACCGCACAGCGTCGTCCGGGTGGTGCTCTGGCGCATGCGTGCGGCGTTCTCTATTCGCCCCGTCCCAGCGTCCGTTGCGGCGGGGTGAGGGGTCGTGGTGGGCCTAGGCCTATGGCGGTGGCCTCCTGAGCCGGGCCCGGCGGCACATCGGCCGCGCACCCACCATGCACAGCTTGGCTACGGCCGCGGTGAGGCGGGGCTGGGGTGGTGGAGTGGTGGGGCCCTGTGCGCGGGCGGCGGGTCCCTGCCGTAGCGGGAGGCGCTGAGTGCGCGCGCGTTTGTGCTGCAGCCGCTTTTCTGGGGTCCTCCGCGGCTTCCTGAGCCGGCTGTGCCTTGCTGTGCCCCTCATGGGGATGAGGGAGCTCGGTCAGCGGCCAGGAGGGCGTCTCTGGCAGGTGTCCCGGCTGTGCGCCTCCCGCCGGGTCTGCGTCACGTCGGGGTTTGTGTCTGTCCCTCCTTGTGCTTGGACGCTGTGTGCCCCTCCCGAGCCCCTGCTCTGTCCTTTGGGAGCTGTTTTGGTTTTTCTGTGGGTGAAAAGAGGAGATAGCAAGAAGTTCCTCAGGGAAGCAGCAAGGGGGACGAAAGGTAGAGGCTGCTCGTTCCTACTCCCCCTTTTCCCCAATACCTTGCAGTGCTGACAGTCACTTTGGCCTGGCTGGGCTCAGAAGCGGAAGCTGAGTTTAAACGATGTGGTTATTGCATTTTATTTCCCGTTTGAGGAGGCTGGTGGTTTTGTTTTCACTTCTCCAAGTGCCTGTTCGTTGTGTGTGTAAGAATTGCAAGGGTTGATTGAGGCTCTGGTGCATATTGGGTTTGGGAGGTGTGTTGTAAGACCAGCAGTTAGAGCTCTTTTCAGGTTAATTTAGCTGAAGGTTCTGCATGGACTAACAAGCAAACAGTATTAAGCAAAGTACTTGCAAGCAGGACGTGAGAGGACTTTTTAAGTCTTCCCACTTTGGGTGCTTGTGACTTGAAAGCTGGCAAAGGCTTCTGATTTAAAGTGACAATTTCCAGAGCATAGTGAGGTGTGTGAGATCACAGTGAGCCCTCTCAATCAGCATTTACATTTTCATAGTCATATAGTTCCTAAGCACTTGTCAAAATGCGTGACTCACTCTTGTATCTCCCATTAATCATCTGTGTCCTAGTCATCTCTCTATAAAAGGATATTTCTTTGTTAAGACCATTTTAACAACTTACTTCAGGAATAGAAATCAAATTTAATTTGGACTCCTCTGAATATATATTTAATTTATGCATAATTCATGCCACGTGGTAGTTCTGTATTGAAATGTTTCCTACCTCAGTTGGTTGGTATGCTTAGACTAAAAGTGATAGGGAAGGGTCTTTGGCTCTGGAGATGTGCTTAGGAGCTGCGGTGAATAACATTGCCTCTTAGGAGAGTCATGAATTGGCTCAGGAATTCTTTTGAGTGATCTCTGTCATGCTAAAGCTGTGTAAGCCAGAGCATTGGTGAAGCTGGTGGCAGAGCTGACATTTCGATTCCAACGCAGAAGACTGCGTAATACGCTAGAGGCTTGAAAACAGGCTCAAAGCAATAAATGCAGCTGTAACTAGCAGTAAGAGTTTGAAAGCCCAACTCAAATCAGCTAATTCACAGCTATTGGAATTCAAAGTTCATTTTGGTGGTTTTGAGTTGGTGACCTATCAAAAAACTTTAAAAATCACATGTATTAAGTTAATCAACATTCTGCTTTGTTTGACCTGTACTTTTACCAGTGTGCCTTGCACCAACTGCTCAATTAGGAAAAGAGAGCCAGTTGCCTAAATCCAGTTCATTATGTAGTTGTTGGAGGTGCAGTTGGGCTTGGCTGTTGGAGGTCATGCTGTTTCTCCTGAGGAGGGCCTTTCCTGATGCAGAGGTGGCCAGTTTGTGCTGTGTTGAGACACTCTTGGAAACTTTTGTTTTGCCTGAATGCAAAACAGAATCTGCTTGGCAGGGTTCTGTCTCGGAGTTTGCAGGATTTGTATGTAAACCTTGGGGCTCTCCTGAATTTTGGGTTTCAGAAGGAGAAAGGGGAACAGCAATAAAGTAGCAAATCAGGAAAAAAGAAAAGTCTTTCAATTTAAACTGAGATGAACAACTGTAGAACCTGTGAAAGATAGTTGGTTCTGGCTAAGGCAGATATTGGGCATCATAAACTTAATTGTGTGGAAAATCTACTTAGTTCTCTTTAGGGGAGCATAAGCACATGATTGTGCTTTTAAAGGGTCGATGTATTTAAGCTTACAGGAACTGAAACTTCAGTGAGTCTAGAAAAATAGATGGAAGCTTTAGATAACACAGTTATAACAACATTATTGCTGCACTGCTTGTCACTACCATCTGAAATAAAAACAAATGAGCTCTGTTCATTCTCCCTCTCTTTCTGAGCTACAGTGTCAGCGTTGCCATTGAATTGCAATCCCAGCTGTAACTGCAGTGCATTTGTCAGGATTACTAATTTAGTGTGAGGTCCTGAGGAAAAAATACAAATAAAAATGAGTAGACAAGAGGAAAAAGAGAGCAAGAGGAAAGATGAAGAGCTATAAAGGTATTTGAGTCCTTGAGTATAGGAATTGGTAACAGTGCATTCGCTTATGTATAAACATTTAAGTTAACGGGGTGGAAGTAGGTAGCAGTGAGAGAAATCCCACAGCTGGGGAAGCCTGTCTTTGGATATGACTATGGATGCAATATGTGGATTAATGGAGGAGGAAAAGAGGTGTCTGCCGAAAGTCAAGATCTCTTCCTTCACCCCTCCTGCAGCTCTGTGTGCCTGCCTCTGCCATATGGCTTCAGATTTGGTTCCAGCCACTTCCAATTCCTGAACTCCTTTATATTCAGTGCCTGGGTGATGAGCTGCTTAATAGCAGTGTTGCTGTCAGTGTGATCAGGCACTGCTCACATGTGTTGTGGACAGCACAATTAGAGTTTCAGCCTGGGTTTGATATAAAACCAAAAGCTGTCCATTTGCTGTTCCCAGACATGACTGCTGTACACAGCTGTGGGGATGCTGAGCTGGCTGTGTGCTAGCAAGCCTGGGAGCAGTAGTGTACAGACAGGGCTGCACTTTACTTGAGTAGTAAATACCACAGCAGAATGTTTGAATAGATTTTAAGCTGTCTTTTGGAAGTGTTTGCACAGGAGGTTTTCTAATGCTGATGTTTGTCTTCCTCTAATTTTTGTACCTCAATCACCAAGCTGTTTACTTAGGAAGCCTGCTGAGCATTTGTTTGCACCTTGAGTGCTTGTTGTGCCAGTAGAGCCATGAGGCAAATTTCACCGAAAGCCTTGTGCCTTTCCACAGAAACTAAGCTACAATCCCACAGTCCCTGTTTCTTTTCCTTTCTTTCCCAGCCCTCCCTCATTTTTTTGGCTTGAAAGCTTGTTGGCCTTGGTGCTGTTCTTTCCCTGGTGCTCCAAGAAAGGCAAAAGAGAAATCCTTTATTTCACTCAAGTAGTAGAAAATGTGCCTTGACTGTGAATACAGGTCTGCCCTTCACTGGGTATATCTTGAACAGGAATTTTTGCACAGGATCAGCTTTGGAAAAATCCCTCTTACCTCCATGCATGTAAACAAGATACATGGGGTGAATATGAGACATCTCTGGCAGCAGGTGTCGCTGGCTGTGAGTGGTGTCATGCTGATGTTGGAGAACTGATGGTTTTTATAGTGTTTGTATGAATGTTTTTCTCACATATGTTGGGTGAATCCCATTGACAATTTCTAATGCCATGGATGCTTTTTGAGAGAAAAAGTAGCATCTGCCTTACTTTGAATTTGTGTAAGCGTGCACTTGAAACATGAGTGTGTGTTAAATGCAGGTGAAGCAAATGATAGCTGGCTGAGGTATGTGAAGTATGTGTGACCTCCCCAAGAGCTCTGCTGGCACAGACAGGCAGCAGCATGACTCTCTTACATTGCTGAATGAAGTTGCAAGGTACTACCTGACAAGTAGATTAAGAGAAACTGTCACAATGAGCCAGGCCAGAAAGTAAAACCTTTGTTTCCAATAGGAGAAATAATAAGACTAATTGAAGGAATGGATCTATATACAGAGCATCTTAATGCAGCTTTAGTTCCTTCCTCTCCCAGTCAAGAGAGTTTTGAGCCCTTTTTTGTTTATTTGCCAGGCTGTGAGAAGAGTTCAGCTGAGACTTGGGTAAAATGTTTGGACTGATGTTTTCTTGTCTCCTTTGCAGCCTGTGCCAACGGCGCTAGCTCAGGTTGACCGTGAGAAGATTTACCAGTGGATCAATGAGCTTTCCAGCCCAGAGACACGGGAGAATGCACTGCTGGAGCTGAGCAAGAAGCGTGAGTCTGTGCCTGACCTTGCCCCGATGCTGTGGCACTCCTTTGGCACCATCGCAGCGCTCCTTCAGGTGGGTAAGATTGATGGTGTTTTTATTCCCTGGTGCAGCACTGGCACATTGCAGAGCTTGCGCGTCCATAGGGGAGGCACCTGGGGGGTCCCTTATTGCCATTGCTGGGAGAATGATGTATGTTGAATCATGTGGTGAGGGAGCAGACACGAGAAGCCCATTTGCCATTAATCATCACTAGTGAGACAACGTGTGCAGAGACTGCATGATTTCTAGTTAGACAGCTTAAATAGTTGGAAGGGGAACAGGCAAGTTCTTGGGTGTATGAGCTTCCTGTGGACCATGTTCTGCTCATTTTCATACCATGTCATAGTAGAACCACAACAGTCTTACTAAGATCTCTGAGTTGGTTTGTTCTGCATGAGCCTGAGCACTTCCTGGTCAGAAGGTTGCCCTTGCAGGGAGCTTGCTGGATGGGCAGCAAGGGAATGCAGCTCACTGTCCCAGAGATCCTTGCAAGGGAATGTACCTGCATTCCATATGAAACTGAATGGCTCAGCTTGTCTTTGGGCAAACTGCTCTGCAGCTGATGACTGCCTGT